GCCTAGGTTCACCGAAAGAGGTGAGGACCCTAGACTCCCCTGGTGATTCTAACTCATACAGAAGTGCGTGTGTGTGTGTGTGTGTGTGTGTGTGTGTGTGTGTGTGTGTGAGTGCATCATAGTGCTAACTAAAATAAAGGTTGTACCACAGTGATGTGGAAAAGATGCAATTTCTGACCTGCAAAATGCCCAATGTGCAGAGTTTGTATCCCCCAAATATGAAAGAATGAATTCCAAGGGACACACAAGGTTAAGGACAGGAAAGGTTTATTAAGAAAGCTCCTGAGAGACAATGGAATCTTTCCCGAGTGGGTGGTCACCCAGGCTCTTTGTCAGGGATGATTTACACAGCAGCATCACACCGTGGGTACCCTGTGGGTTGAACTACAATCAACCCGTCTCACTATGGCAGTGCATAAACCAACTCGCAGTCAATCTATAACATTACAATTATAGCAGCTTAGCCAATACTGATCCAATAAGGAAATAAGTCACACAGCAAGGGTTCAAGGAAAGACCAAAGGCGTTTTTGGGAAGGGAGAGGAGTATGGATCCAGACGTTCTGGTCACCTATCTGTGAGTCTGATGCCTAGCTGAGGCACTGGACCATGAGGTGCTAATTACCATATAGTCTCAAATTGCTGTTTATTTCACAGGCTTGCCACCCAGGTCTCCATCCTGAGGCCTGCCTCTCTTTGGACTTGCCTCTAGCCACAATTCTGATGTCTCTATTTTTGTGGTGATTTCCTCATAGGCCCAATCCCTCTCTAACTGTATATTAATTTCTAATTTAGAGATTAGAATTGTTTATAATAATATCCTGGAGCATTCAATTAGATGAAAACAGAAGAGGAAATGTGTGGGGAAGTTGACCGCTAGAATGGCTAACTTGAAAAGGGCATGAAGAAACAGTTCTCAGACTGTACAATGCACAAGAATTGGCTGGAGGACTGCTTAAAAACTAGACTAATATAACCCACTCCCGCCCCCTGCAGAATTTGCAGCCTGCTAGGTCTGCGGGCTCTCTGGATTTGCATCTGGAACAAATTCCCCCGGGGTGCTGATGCCCAGTCTGTAAACAAGTAAAGTGGGTCTAAATCCTGGCTGTATGATGGACTTAGCCTGGCTGAGTGTCTAAAATACTGTCGTCAAGATTATGATACAACAGAACGGGGAAGCCTGGCCGCAGGTAGTTTTTATGTGTGCGGGCAGGGCTGAGAGCCACTGGGGCTGAGCCTTCTGGAAAAGCGCGGACGGAGTCTGGGACAGTCAGATACAGTCTTGGGGTAGCAGATTTACCTTGTTTGAGAGTCTTTCTGCAGGGCTCGTGAATTTTCACTAAATGATCTTTCTAATGTCCTTTCCCTATTCAGAGTCGCGTTTCCATGAAAAAAAAAAGTGCACGGACCAGCCGATTTTTTTCTCTCAGCAATGCTGCCCTCTAGCGTCCATACATATCCACTTCAGCCATCAACGGTTATTTCCAATTAGCTCCCTAAACAATGTGGAGAACTTCTCTCTGGAGCTGAAGAAAAACAAGCTAATTTACTGAGTTAATTAAATTTTAATATGGGGCTGCGTGACTCTGCAGCCTCGGCCTGCTCTTCCCCACCACTCCTCCCTGCTGCTGTGCTGCTGCCTGGTTAGGGCAGGGGGTCCCCAGGAGCCCTTCCAGCTTCTACCCAGTCTTCTTCGGCCAGAGCCCGCACAGGCCTGAGGGTCACGGGAGCTGGAGGGCCTGCGCAAGGGAGCGCCACAGAGACGCCTCACTTCTCAAGCCTCCTTCTTCACTTGCATCTCAGTTTGCTGAGAAGAGACATCATCAGACAGGAGCTCCGTGCCTCCCACAGTCTGCACACCCAGCTGGTCCTCCACCCCACCCCGCCGCTTTCCCTCTGCCTCACCGGTCCTCTCTCTTCCTCTTCGCAGCCCCCTGGTCCGGCTCTTTCCTAACTCGTTCTTTCTAGCTCGCCCCGATGGCGCACAGGTAGACTCTGAACCTCTCCCATCTAAAACTCTCCTTGGGCACCGAATACCCCTCACTACCGCCCAATGTCTTCTTTATTCACAGACAAGCCTGTTGGAAACCTGTCCTCACAGGGTGTCTCTAAAGCCTCCCGGCCCCTCATTCGCTCACTGCCTCAAGGGCCTTGTCCCATCTCACACTGAGCCTGCTCCCCCGCCTGTGGACCCTGGCATGCGCCCCCACACCCCTGGAGGTACAGTCTTCCCTGTGGGCGCACTGCCCGCAGCACGCTGTGTTCCTGGTTCTGAAGCACCGCTCCCCCCCCCCCCCCCCCCCCCGGCTTCCCTCCTGCCCCTCTGGCTCCTGATCGCCCAGCATGCTGCACGGGTCCTCTCTCTCTGACTACCGCCAGCAACGACAACCTCCTCTCCTTTCTCTCTGCCTTGCCTCGGTAGTTTCACCCACTGCCAAGAATTTACAGTCAACAGACTGGTAGCTAAGAAACACACCACATCCAGGGGTCATTCATCCTCTCGTGTCCAATTCCGTCAGCTCAGCATCTCCCCTTCAGCAGCACATAGCATTGTGCTTCAGAGAAGAACTCGTGACACTCCTCCCGAACTTTCTTCTGTCATCAAACAGCCAACGATCTGGAGGACACGTTGCTCTTTCCCTTCTTACCACATTCAGTCTCTCTCCTTACCACTGTCTTCCTACTCCAAGATACCCCCCGCCCACCTGGAGCACTACAGCGCCTTCCTAACGATCGTCCTCGTTTCTCAGTGAATCCTCCACAGCACAGGCAAAGATGGTGTTCTGAAAGGTAAACTAGGATGATGGAGTATGTCATTCCCTTGCCTAAAACAAAGTCAATGGTGCCATTAAACTTTGCGTAATATACGAAAACATGGCTTGCCTTCTGCCAGCTACATCGACCCCGCCTATCCTCCCTCCACACTAAGCTCCTATGGCTTCCTTCCAGACTCTGGAATTTACTAAGTCCTGCCCTGCCTCAGGGCCTTTGTATATGCTATTTCCTAAAATGTTCTTCCCCTGCTCCTTATATGATGGCTCTTTTCTGTCCCTGAATATAACTCTTCAGTGAAACCATCTTTGCCATAACTAGTCTTCCCTTTTAATTTTGATCTCAGCCTCCATTTGTCTTCCGTATAGCATTTCATATTTTATAATTTCTTATTTACTTGTCTATCTTCCCCACTCAACTATAAACTCCAAGTTTAGGAACTTTGTGTTTGTTTTACTCAAAAATGAATACAGCAACTGGCACAGTACTGGCAACACTAGATTTTCACTGTCTGTGTGTTGAATAGGTGTGTGAATGTGCAGCAGGTCACCACCTCCACCCACCTTAGCTGTGCTGGGCCAGGCCTTCAGCGGCTTGCACATGGCTAAGCCACCAGACTGTTCTGTACTCATCTCACTTGACTGCAGGGCCCGAGACATGGAATTGGGTCAGGATCAATTTATTTCTGTGAACCTCTTCAGTATTTCCCACCCTGTTCAATCCACCCCAGCATCTCCAGCATTAAAAACAACAGACACTGACAAATACTGTTTGAATGACCTCCTGGCTCAGAAGGAAGCTCTGTGTGAAGGGAAAAGGACCTGGCACAATGGTGATGTCTGCTCTGGGCCAGAGATTTAATAATGGCTTTCAACTTCCAGAAAAGTTTTTAATGGGCACTTATTCCACTTGAAGTCTAAAAGAGAAGAAAAGGAGAGTTCTTATTACTTTTTTTCATCACATTTGTTTAACAAAGGGAAAATGAACATCGTACTTTAGTTGCTGTGATTTAAGATTTGGAAATCTTTATCCAAGGAAAAAAGGATTCAGCTTTTAAACCAAATTCCACCTCTGTTGTAAGCCAATAATGAATGAAAGCATTCCCCTCTTCTGGAGAACCCGAAGGCAACTTCAAAGACCTCACATAAGCCCAGCAACAAAGAACTGAAGACATTTGCCCTGGCCGTCTCATCCCAAATTCATCCCCAAACAATGTTTACCCAGGAGAAATAAAAATAAAAATTCATCAACTTTCACTCTGCTTTGAGACAAGGACTGAATTTTTCTAAAGGACATGTAACCTACTGGTATTACTGGGATCTAGAAAAGCCCCAAAGTCATATGACCCCTTGAAAATGTCAAATGCCTTGGCATGCTGTTCATCCAAACAGCTGGCCTACTTTGTGGAAAATATCCAATCCTATCTATAAATTTTTGCTAAATTGAACTTAAGGTTATTCCTGCTGCCTTCGTTCTGCATCCCATCTGCCTGGTGCCAAAGGGATTAGCTCAGCTCCACCCCTCTAGGGAGAGGACTCATTTTCCTGTTTAGGCAATGTGATGTCAACCTGAAAGAGCCTGATAAGCAAACTGGGTGGGCCCACCGGCAGGCTGTGGTGAAATCAATTTACATGCGTGTCTTAGAACAAAATTTGGTTCAACATGGTCAAGGACAGGGTGTGTCACTGCAGGCTTTGAGCCCCTGTGACTGCAGCTGTTTGTTCAGCGTTAATGTGTTTATCTTTCTGCTAAACACATTGTTACTGAGTCATCTCTATTGAACAGCTACTCAGTGTGAGGCCCAGCTCTGCAAACCCAGCATACAAAGAAAGACAGGCCTTTCATCCTCAGTGTCCTTATATTCTGCAACTCCAAAACAAATGCTTTCCCTCATTCTTCACTTTGGTAAGCAAGGACTCTCAGAGAGGAATTATATGTTATTTAATCAGACCGAGAACCATCAGGAAATACAAGCAAAGAACTTAAAGTGATCATTATGTTTTTAATGCCAATTAATACTGCTGCTGAAAACTGAATGTGGAATGTCAGCCTCCAAACCATCAATATTACGTGCTAGACTATTAATATTACATGTTAGACCCATATCAAAGTAATTATATTAATCAAACAAATAATTGCATTAAACTTTTAAACTTTGGGGATGGGGAAAAAAAATCATGCAACTTTGAACAATAGAGAACTCCTGGAACACTGTTTGGCCTTCCACAGAAATTGTTCGAGCCATGACACATGTGATCAACCAAGGCATGGCGATGTACTGGGGCACTTCCAGGTGGAGCGCTATGGAGATCATGGTAAGCTCTTTCTGTTTCTGCATGGCTACTGGGTACCTTGTTATCTTTACTCAGATACCCTGTAGAAAGCACTAATCCTTGGCAAACTTTACTCAAACTCCCTATGGCATTGCAATTCTAAGATCAATTCCATCATGAAAGGGATAAATATTGGAGCTGGAGCTCATCAGTTCGGAACACAACAGGGAGAGATCGTGTCTCCTAAAAGAATCATGTTCTTTGATGGCAAGAAGATAAAGTGAACTTTACAGCTAGTGAGAAATGAATGGAGTATTCTTATTTAGAAACTATATTAAAAATAAAAACTATATTAATAATGACTGCTTATAAGATAACTACTGATCACTTTTATATATGTTTAAATTTTATTTCTTTAGAAACCTAAAATAATCAAACTACATTTTTATGATAATAGTGCATAATTCATACTTTGCTGAATTTGCCCTAGACCTCACTAAGCTCAAATCCATCCAAGGAATAATAAGTATTTTGTACCTTCAGTATTGCTCTTGGTAAAATCAATGGTCATAACTCCACTTGTTGTTTGGCATCCCATGTGTTCCTTGGTTTGTATTGACTTCACTGAAATGAACATTTCACATGCAAATGAATCACAGTGAAACCTTATTGTTAATCAGTCTAAAATCAGTTGCAATTTTGTTTCTCCCCAGGAAGCCTATTCGGTAGCAAGACAATTCAATATGATCCCACCAGTCTGTGAACAAGCTGAGTACCATCTTTTCCAGAGAGAGAAGGTGGAGGTCCAGCTGCCAGAGCTCTACCATAAAATAGGTAATCTTCAAAAGTACATCTACTACTTTTAACAATAGGGAAACTAGTGACTTGGAAAATAAGTTTTAGTAAAATGCTTTCTTAAATGTCCCTAATAAATATAACGATTGTAAGAATTATGCATCCCAGGGACTAGCAAAATCAAATGTGCAAAATCAAATATTTAATCTACAGGGTATCACAGATGAAATCCACAGTTGTGAACTGTGACCGGCATACAGCTGTACTCAGTAATTGTTAAAACAATACAGACATGGTAATTGGAAAAATCAGTAGATAAATACAATACTCACCCAAGCAAACTTCATGGATATACACATCTATATATCTTACTGTCCTGGCACTAAGCTGGATATGGGAAATTCAACAATTAACAAGTCAGACACTACAGATTTGTATTGAAATAAAGCTCTCAGAGAGAAGGGGGAAACTACATACACATATCAATACAAGAAATGTGGAGCTAGGAGAAACCTGAATAAGGCACACTTTTGAGGTTTATATACCAAAGGATATCCTTTCTCTTATAATCTGCATATAAAAGTTATATAGCAAAGTGTATTCAGAGATAACTTTTTTTCTTAGAATTGGCAGGAAAAGGCTGCATAAGAAAAAAAGATAAAAACTCAATGAGAACAACTGTTATTACTATCACTTACTGAGTGTTTACTAGATGCTGCACTTCTGCTGTGTACCAGCCATCATATTAAGCACTGAACAAGAGAAGCCCTGAATTTCTGTGCAAGTGAAAGTGTTTATCTCTTTGTCAGTGAATCTCGTACACTGAAACATCATAGATAAGCCAAACCTGCAGGGCTTGCTTTTGCGACTCATTCCAAGAACTGACAGGACATATTTAATTGGTTTATAAAAGAATGAAATACAATTTGCAAATTAAAAAATATAACAAAAAGATATATGTTGCTATTAACTCATTCATCTGGCCAGCTCTCCCCTATAATCATCCACGCTGTGTTTAAACACCCACAGTGTTTTGATCCCAGTTGGTATGATTTATTTTCCACGGTTTTCCCTTCTGTAGGGGTTGGCGCAATGACGTGGTCCCCACTCGCCTGTGGGATCATCTCAGGAAAATATGGAAACGGGGTGCCTGAAAGTTCCAGAGCGTCACTAAAGGTATTCTCCACTTCTAGATCAGAGTCCAGGGGTGGGAAAGAAGACTGATTAAAGTGCTTCTGCCTCAGCCTGGGGCTTACTAACTCAGGCACACTGTGGCCCTGGCGAGACTGGTGGCCCCTGAAAGCCTTCTCCCAACATTCTGAGGTCTTATCCTGGCCAGAATCAGTGGGCTCTTCATAATCTGCACAGAAAAGTCTCTTTCTGTGGGGCTGGGAGAAAGTGACCTATGGCCTGGTTGGACTTGCAGAGTTGAAATCACTACATTGTTAATTATTGTTTAATTAATTAGGGTTACTGGTAAATTTTAGATTTACATAATGATCACAAAGAGAATTTGTCTGTATATGATATATCTTAATATTTTCTTTTCCAGTCCCCTCCCCTGCCTTCAACCCCTTTTTCCCTCTTTATAAAAGCTTTGTTTGCATTTCTTTTTTTCTTTTTTTCTTTTCCCTTCCTTCCTTCTCCCACCCTCCCTAGTTCCCTTTCCCATTTGAAAATTTTCTACTTCATAATATCCATTATACATTTTGGTCCTTATTTGCACTTCTGATTTCTCACACCAGGGAAACAATGTGATATTCACATGTATGTCTCATTTATTTCACTTAAGAGTATGGCCCCAAGGTGCATGCATTTACCTAGAATTATCACTTATATGTTGTATTGAGGAAGGCATTTATTTCATTCCTTGTTTGAAACTGACAGAATTTAAAGTTCCTTTTCTATGAAAGAGAATCTAATTTTCCTTTTCTTGACAAAAAAAAAAAAAAATTAAACCATTGAGGCTTACTCCAATTAAGGCAAACAGTGGTAACAAAGTGTGCTTTGCTTGACCTTTTTAATTGTGTGTTGGCAGCAGAGGTAAGGTAGGAGAGCAGTAGAAGATAGAAACACAGCAAAGTTTATATCGATGGGACTCCATGACTGGCCTTTGTAGAAACCCATTCTGGTCATTGGTGCTTTGTAGTTTAAATTCTGCTTTGGAGAATAATGGCATTCAAGAGCACAAGAACAAGTTTACCTCCATTCAAGACATCTTGACGATTAATTTATTGGTGAGGATTCCAAACATCTTTCCTTATAAAAACATGTCCACTTTCTTAAAATGTGAGAGAATGTGTAATAAAGTGGAATGCTCTATACTGTCAAGGGAAAAAGAATATAGGCATTTGAAAAATTCAGTCAAGCAAATTCAGTCTTCCTAAGAAGACAAATAAGCACACCAGCTTCAAGCCTCTGTTAGTGCTAAATTAGTGGAGGAATAGCTCACATCAAACCTGAATTACCAATCCTTTGATCAGGGGAGGGGTGACCACATGGGCTTCCTAATAAGGAACTTCTCAAGGCTCTGGTATTTCACTTCCTTTCCTGCCTGTAACACTTCAGCTTTTAGTTTGTTTGTTCTCTAAAATAACATAAACATGTTCTAAAGCATGTAGACATGGCCCTGTTTGTGGTTTATGTACTGTCACAAAACACAATCAATCCTAGAATAAATATTAAGGAAGATCTTATTCCTCAAGATTAAAGAACCAATCAAAATTAAGTCCAAGCTTGGAAAATCAAAAGCATATTAGGGAAGAACATATAAAAGGAGAAAGATAAAGTTAGTGAAGAAGGAAAGCATTGAGAAGTATGAATTTCAACCTGGTTGGTGGTGCATGCCTGTTATCCCAACACTCAGGCAACTGAGACAGGAAGATCACAGCAACTTTGAGGGCAGTCTGGGCTACACAGTGCGTTCAGGGGAGCCGGAGTACCGACTGTTCACCAAGGACCAATCTAAGTGTTTTCATTCATCTTCCTTTATCCTCAGAAAGAGAAACAGATATAGATTGGCTTTTAGTCAGTTGTACTTAAGCTAAATTGCTAGGTGTTCCTTGTCTTACAGTGGGGTTTAGAGCTGATAAACCAGTTGTAATTTGAAAATATCTTAAGTCAAAAGATTCATTTAATGTACCAAACTTACAAAACACCATAGTTTGGCCTAGCCTACCTTAAATGAGCTCAAAACAGAGTAGCCTACAGTCTGACCAAAATCACCTAACATAAAAGCCTATTTTATACTAGCATGTTGCCTATTTCATGTAATTTACTGAACATTGTACTGAGAGTGAAAAATAGAAGTCATATAAATGTTTTTATGCCATCATAAAATTAAAATTAAAAAATCCTAGATCAAACCATTGTTAAAAGCCAGGTACACAGCCTTTCATAGTCTTTCTGAAAAATTCAAAATATTTCTGTATTACGCTGAGTGTTCTCAGCCTTTTCCAGATGTGTAAGTACATTAAATAACAAGATAAATGCATTAAATTCAAGATCATCAATTTCTAACAAATAAAGTTGATGTTAAAGCCATGTTGCTTGGCTTTTGGTTAACTATCTTCCCCAAAGACATCTTTGCTTTCCTTCAAACCCAGGTTTTTTACAAGAAGGTGCTACATTCTCAGTACCTTATTATCTAACCTCTATTATTGTTTGGGAAAAAATCTGCTAACAACTGAAAACACTTTCATAAATGCAACTGCAAAAGAGGAAAGAAAAAGAAAGTACATACAAAATGTTTGAAAGTAACATTATGGCTTATAGCTAGATGTTCATGTAAGGCCTCATATAATCATAGTTGGGACCCTTGGAAGGTGCCTGGATTGTGGAGATGCCATAGCTGACTTGCTGTTAAGATGTGAGGAGTGGTTGGAAGAGTTGTGTCACTGTGTGATCAGGAAGGTTATATCTCCCTTCTTAGCTCCTTCCTTCAGTTATCTCTGCTTGTCTGCCATGCCATGAGTACCTTATCTTCTGTGCTCTTCTGCTATGTGGTCCCACCTTGAAGCCAATCAACATAGTATGTAAATGAAAGCCAAAATAAACTCCTCCTCTTTAAATTGTGATGTGAGGTATTTTGTTCCAGTCATGAAGAAAGTGACTAAGAATTTGGAACAAGAGAAGTGGGGTCATTGTTGAGATACTGTGTGACAGTATAGTTCGGAAATCTTTGGAGCTGACTTGTAGGAAGACTGGAAAGGTTTGAAAATGCCAACTGGAGAAACTGTGAGTTGCTGTAAGCAGAGCTCAATGGGAGATTCTAGTCAGAGCTCAAAGACTAGAATGCTGATAGAAGAGCAGACAACAAAGACCAGACTCAGGAGGTTTCAATTGAGAAGACTCCACTGCAGGTGCATTCCAGACTATGTGTGCTGTGCTCTGGCAGAAAATGTGTCTACATCTTACTTATGTTCTCAGACTTGGCAGGAGACTGAGATGAAAGGCAGGGAGCTAATTAATCTCACAAAGGAAATTTCAAGGCAGCTTAACATTGAGGCTGTAGCATGGGTACCAGTTTTAGCCAGTTCTACATTAAGAATCCAGATCAAATGGTACAGCTTAATGATTTAAAAATTTTTAAATTTGCTCAGAAAGGAAGCCCTAATTAAATTGGGACCTCCAAAGTTGGAGCAGAGATCTTCACTGTTGAAAAGATTAGCATTAAATAGAAGCCAAATACTTTATATCTGGACATAGGAAAGATGCCTTGAGGGCCTAGGAAGAATGGTCCTTCACAAACTCAATGGTGGAAAAGTGAAAGACTGCCTTGAGATAAGAGCCCTAAGGCAACATGCTGAAGGCCATGTAGGAAACTGGCTTCCTGAGATTCCATTCACAGTGCTCAGTCATCCAAGTACTCAGAGGCTCCTGCAGCCATAAGGCAAAAGGGCTTGACTACTTCTGGAGCCAGAGGCAGAACTCATCATCCACCTGATGTGGAGTCTTTCACCTAGACACTAGAAGACAGCCTTAAAGTCTAGGCAGTGTGTCTATGAGAGGGTAGTGTATGAAGTTGTGAGAGTGAAGCCAAAAGTGCCCTGGAGACCCCAGGAATCTACAGAAGTCATCTGAGGGAAGCCATAGGAGTGAAAAAAGCCAGCCCAAGAGAAAAATCATGAAGGCAGCAACCACAGCAATGCCTTAGATTGGGACTCCAGGTGCTGGACACAGAATTACAAGAGTTAGTGTTTGCCCTGCTAGGTTTTAGTCTTGCTTTGGTCCACAGGTTTCTAGCCCTCTTCCTCTGTTTTGGAATGAGAATGTAAATTCTGTGCCATTCTATGTTGGCAGATCTGTTGCTTACTTTTTTCTCATTGGTGAGACAAAATACTCAATCCCCAAAATTAAGGAAGGAAAGGTTTGTTTAGCTCACAATTTGTGGAGGTTTCAGCCCATAATCAGCTGATTCCAAAGGCACATGGCAGAGGGAATACTGTTCACAATGGTGAAAGTGAAAGCAACAAAAGAAAAAAGGGAGGAGTACACAGACTCTGTCTCTTCTAATGTGTGTAGACTACCCATTCCAGGGAGGGTGTAGTATTCACCCATAACTGGACCATGAATCAAACATAAACTCTAGAAGCCCACCTCTGAAAAATGTCTCCCTGTCTGGGAGAAGACAGGGCAGAATGTTATGGCTTATATGAAGCCTTAAGTTTCATGCGATCATAAGAAGGACCTTTAGGAGGTGACCGGATCATGGCAATGCTATAGCAGACTTCCTGTTAGGAGGAGGTAGGGTTTGGTGGGAAGGGATGGGTCCCTATGGGTGTGACCAGGAAGACTTCTTAGCTGCTCTCTTGACTTGTCTGCTTCCTTGCTTCCAAGCAGCTTCTCCTCTGCTATGCATTTAGAACTTCATTTCACACCATGTTTACTGCAGTCTTACTAGACATTAGCAACCACATACTGTACTTTTTTATCACAACTCATAAAGACACCCATGAAAGAGGACTTCCAAAATTGCTTTAGAAAGTGGCAAGAACAACAGAGTAAGTGTGTTTAAAGCAACAAGTATTGTGAGGAAGATTTGCAGCAATGTGTCTAAGGTAATAATTTTTTGTACATTCACTATATATTTTGATCATGCCTTGTCTGCTTGAATTTCAATCAAGGATTAACTAATAGCTATTAGAGACTGGAAAAAAGTCTCACAGACTAGTACCATCCTGATATTACCACCTATAAGAAAGGACATCTAGACAATGGTTACAATATTTGGGAGAGGGCAAAGAAATAGCTTTAGGAAAATGTAGAGAATATTGTGATTTATATATAAAACCCACTAATATATAGAGGCGAAAAGCTCATTTAATTGATTCTTTGACAAATGCCTACAGATCATCTGCACTAGGTGCTGAGCACTACAGGGATAAATGGGACAGGCTTGACGTTCAAAGAATAGTTGAGGGACTTAGGAGAGATATATGAAAAGTGAGTTATGAGACAACATGGAACTCACCAGCACAGTGGACCCCAGTAAGTCAGCTAGGAAAGTCACACTGCACTTGAGAAGCGGGTATCCATGCTCTGTACGAAAAACTGAAGAGGTTTTTACCCTTGTTACTGAGACTCCTCTCACTGAGCCCCTCTGCCTCAGCCACAAGGTCAGGGCTAAAGATGCTGATCACTTCCATACTTAATTGTTTAAACCTCATCTTCTCCATCTGTTAATATTTTCTCAGCTTTAAACTGCTTATTTCCAAAACATTGTCGTTCTTCTTGGTATGAAAAAAGTACAAACACTATCTATCTACTTTTTTTAAAGCCCTCACTCCTTACATATTGCACTGATTAAAGCAACAGTGAGATTCTTTATATTGAGGGTGGGGTGAGGATTCAAAAAAAAAAATGAATGTTTGATATTTGTTACTTTTGGATGTCTGTCCCTCAGTATAGTAAGGTATGTATACACACACATCAATAAAACATGCCCAAACCCTAAGAGAAGAATGCATTACATATATGATTTGAAAAATGGAAGAGTTCAGTGAGATTAATAAATCAGCTATTCATTTTGTTTTGTTTTGTTTTGTTTTGTTTTGTTTTGTTTTGTTTGAGACATGGTCTCAGTACATAGTCCAGGCTGGCCTCAAACTTATAGCGATCCTCTTGCCTCAGCCTCCTGAGCCCTGGGACTACAGGTGTGTGCCACCATGCCCAGCTAAATCAGCCATTCTTAGGATGTATACCATTCAGTGTGGTATATACTGAAACCTTAGAAACTGTCTTTGTTGTGATAAAAAACAATTATTCAACAGTATGTTTCATTAGCTTTTTAATTTTTATTTGTTTGAATAACATTCAGAGATATCAGCCCCCTGAAAGATGTTATGAAACTTAAGTGAGGATTAATGTTTTTCCCATGGAGAACAAAAGCAAGCTCACGGCTGTCTGACGTAGGCAGTGCCCTAGCCCAGAAAGGCTGCCTGGGGCCTGATCATAACCACCCACCTCACCCACACTGGCACCAACTGTCATCTCCAGAGGATGTGCCAGACCACCCTTCCTCTGGAGTAATTCAAAGCTTCACAGATCTCAGCCCGGAAAAACTCTTGGCTATTTCCCCGAGCAAACTCCCAAATGAGGAATCAGACCATAACCTTTGAGATCTAGGAGGCAGACAGCAGGGGTAGCTTGCCCTTCTCCGTCTCACATTTGCAAAATAATTCCAAAAATCACAGTGAAAAATAATGCGGTTACCCTTTTCTTTGGAAATTGTCTCTTCGAATGATGAAAAAATACTTAAAAAACAAGTCAGTGGCCGACTGAAACCACGTTGGGCTGATGGCAGAGCTGGCTGCTGCCTCTCGAAAAACAAAGGTCTGCAGTGGCCTCACAAGCAACAAAGTCCATGTTGCCACACAGAGGCAGAGTTTTTTGTTTTCTCCAAACAGACTAACTTTCTTACAAATACTCTTTCCCTTTGGGTGTTGCCGCTTGAGGCTAGTGTTGTGCAGAAGAGATTATTATTTCCTCTTTCAAAGTAAGCACAAAGCGTTCTGGAAAATAGGGCAGTGAGAAGTACTGAATAATTTTTCTCTTCATGGTTAGGAAATTAGATTCACCTTATAGTGTACAGATTAGGGTCAGTCTCTTTCCATACATTTAAAGAATAGTTTCATTTGCTGAATTTCTCAAGTTTCGGTGGTTACACATTAGGTAATACATGTTTAGAAAGTTATTTGTATTTTTTTAAATGTATTTGATACTTAACAGTTATGTCTACTTCTAGAAAGAAGTTGAGGAAACTATTAGAAGAATATGTTAGGTGCGGATTACAGGCAAAAGAAAAACTGTTTATAACAAGAATGTAAAATAATGCCTCACTTTGAGCAGAAAGCTTGGCACCCAGATTTCTTTAAAAAAAAAAAAAAAAAAAGAAAAGAAAGAAATATAGCAGACCTTGGTAAAATGACAATTCTCTCTCTCATCCCCTCCCTCCTCTAAAACAAGGCTATTCCAGTTAGAAACATTACTGTAATTTCTCCACTTGGTAGATTAGGGTATAACTGTCTATATGTCAGAGTTTTAAAAGCCTTTGGCATTATCAATTGATTTCAATGGTGAATACTGACCAAAAGCAGTCTGTTTCGAATAAATAAGAGCAAAACTATGGGAACATTTCTTTGCATGAAGATATAAGTATACTTCTCACTACAAAACATGAGACTCAGCATCAAGAAGGTATTTCACCCTGAGGTTCTTATATTTTATTAACAATTTTGGATATCACATCCTTGCCAGACATTAACATTTAAGTGCTATTTTTATTCTTACCTGTAGTGCTACCAGTGGTTGAAGGAAAGAATTGTAAGTGAAGAAGGAAGGAAACAGCAAAACAAGCTAAAAGACCTTTCTCCAATTGCTGAGCGTCTAGGATGCACGCTACCTCAGCTAGCCGTTGGTAAGAAAATTCTAGCGGGTGGCAGAGGTGAGATACACCTTTGCTGGGGTCATAGAATATGCAATTTTCTATCTTTAATCCACAACTCTATCAAGATAAAATGCCTACAGTATGGACAGACTGATCTCTGAAACATACCTGATAAATGCAACATAACATGAGTTACTCAAGGTTCTCTTCAAAATTCCATATATGCCAAAACAATTTTCTTACTTCTTTCCCCTCTTCCTTTTAACACAGTTCAAATAAACATGTCTGTGAAAACACACATTCTCACAAACATCAGAGATGAGCTGTGTAGTGACATCCACCTGGCTCTGGCCAGCCAGAGCCTGTTGAAGCAAGGCCATGGCTGAGGACAGGCTGAGAAACAAGGCTGTGACAGAGGCCTCCAGGAATAGCCAAAAGCAAAACAGATCCTGGAAGAAAAGTTCCATTTAGAAACAACTTAGGGCCATGAAAATTGTTCTCCTCATTCTGTGGCATCCATGAAGAGTCATGTTTCCTGGTAACTAAACCACATGCACTGGCACTGTCTAGTACACAGATGATATAAACCACATATTTCACTTCAAGCTTCCCAGTGGCTGTATCAAACAAGTAAAAAGGAAACAGGTGAAATTAATGTTAATAAAGGATTTTATTTAACACAATATACCCCAAATATTTGAAAATGTAATGAATGTAAAAAATTATTGAGATATTTTATATTCTTTGTCACATTGTCTTTATAATCTAGGACATATTTTATACCTACAGCACATCTCAATTCAGGCACAACAGTCACGTGTGGTAGTGGCTACACATGGGACAGAAAAGCATTTAAACCTTCAGTTCCCTTGCTGGGACATATTTGCCAGGCTGTGTGATAACCACTTCATATTAACTGTCTTGTCTCCTTAGTCATCAAAACAATCCTATTAACTGTAGACTGTTAGTAATCTATCTTATAGCCATCAATGGAGATGTTCTAGAATTCACATGGCAACTTAGAAAGCCAGGCACAATAGCACATGCCTATAATTTCAGTGCTCAGGAGGCAGAGGCAGGAGTCTCACTGCAAGTTTGTGGCACATAGTGAGCTCAAAGCTAGCCTGAACTACATACTGAGACCCTGTCTCAAAAAAAAAAAAAAAAAAAAAATTAAATGAGTGTCAATTCCAGGAAAAAAAAAAATCCTAAAGATTAAAAAATAAAACAATTTGGGGCAAATCAGATACAATGACATAATTAGATAAAAAGTTCATACAAAGTCTATGCAATAAAGTATTTGTTGGTAGCCTGAGGCTCAAAGCCAGGAAAGTATTAATTGCAGTTTACACTATAAATAAATGGAAATAAAGAGGTTTTAGAGGGAAGAAATATAATGTATCGAGATACACTTATGGCTGTTACTTTCTTTAAAAAAGCAAAGAACATATTTAATGCAATTAGTTGGCATCCCTACAATTTTAACACAGTGAAAAAAAAATTAGCTTTCTGATCAAGGCCAAGTTTTTTTAATATAAATTTTCATGTGTGGAAACTGGATATTAAAATACATGTCTTACAATTTGTTGAGTAAGGAGAAATTATACATGCAAAACAGAGTAGGTATTCAGTAAGTAGCAATGATGATGATGACGACCATGACAATGTTTTGGCAAAGTAGAAGACATCCTGGAAGTTCACTCCTAGCTACTTAGGTGGTCAGAAGGTTATCCATAAAAACAAACATAAACTTTGCATAGTCATAATTGTGATTTTAGTGGTAACATGAATTAGTACAGTTGATCTTCCATAGCCATGGATTTAATCAACTACTTATACTGTATTAGGTATTATAAGTAATCTAGAAACGATATGAAGTATACAGGAGGATGTGTTCATAAATGCCATGCTACGAGTGTCCTTGAATTTTGGTATCCATGGCAAGCCCTGAGCCAATCCCTCACTAATACAAGGAACAAGATGTCAGAACAACTGTCCTTCTAGAAGGGAAATCTTTACAGAATTTAGATTTTCACTGGATGGCAGATATACATGAAACAACCACCATATAAAGTCTAAGTTTAAAAATATGTTTTTCTTTTTCCTCCCTCTATGCCCCAGATGTCTTCTTTGCCTGTCATTTTTCTTTCTTTATAAACAAGTAGTTCTGTTTTTAACCACAGACCTCTCAAAACCAAAACGGAAATGATTTCCACTCTGTCACCTCTGATCTGTAAGTTGGGAGTGGGGGAAAGAAGAGCTTTGGGCAGGAAATAAACGACTTCACCCAACTGTGCTGGCTCCCCAAGTAACGCACCTGCTCAGGAGCCAGCGTCACGACACCTCGCTGTTAGTAAACAGGCACTCTGAATATGCTAGCTGGTGACATCCAAAGACACTGATCACCCAGCATCAGCTGCAGGTGCTACCCATGGAGTCCGCCAGCTCCACCCAGTAGGTTCTCCCATGCCCTCCCTAAGCCAGCTGAGGAAATCGGCTGCTACCAACTTCGAAGCTGTTTATGGGCAGTCACTTGCCCAAAGCTCTATGTTACACTCAGAACTTTCACTAAGGCCAAGGAGAATTCTAAAGTGCGAAGCAAGAGAAAATACAGCACTCTGCCACACAAAGATAAAAGGAGAGAGGAGAAAAAAGAAAAAGGAAAAGAGAGGAGAATTTAAAAAGCCCTGGGTGTCACGGGGCATTGTGGCACATGTCTGTAATCACAGCACTTGTAAGGCTGAAGCAAGAGGATTGTAGCAAGTTCAAGGCCAGCCTGAACTACATAGCAAGACCCAGTGGAAAACAAAAAAAAAAGAAGAGGAAGAGGAAGAAGAAAAGAGCCCCAGATCTCTTGTACTGGCACCTTTATAAAGCACAATTTACCCAAGTGGAAAGACCTAGGGGTTTCTGTAAAAGACCCATGCACAGTAACAGCTTGAGAGTATCAGAGGACAGCAGGCCTTCAGCAGATGGGGACAGAAGAGGTACCAGGGATACACATCAATACCTATGTTTATTCACAAACATTTAATAAGTACCTCCTAGATGCAAGGTACTGAGCTGGTTTTTAAGATCCCACTGCCAATTACCCACACCTTACAGCTTAATGGGCAAGTCAAGAAAATAAACAGATAATGTAACTTAAAGGTAAAAGTTGTTCTGTTAAAAAAAATTTATTGGGGCTGAGGATTTAGCTCAGCGGCATAAGCGCCTGCCTTGCATGCAGGCAGTCGTGAGTTGATCCCTGGTACCGATAAAAACAAAAAAGACCAAAAAAAAAAAAATTTATTAAGATGAGCCATTCCTCCAGCTTTCTCACACTGGGAGCAGAAACCACTACCCTACCCCACCCCACCGCACCCAGTGCCAAGAAGGCTTCAATGTTTCAACATTTCCTGGGCCCTTGGGTGGGCCAAAGCCAGGCCAAAACTACACATGCGTATTCCCTGACTTTTGGTTTTACCCAGTCAAGAAACTGGAGTACTTCTGCGTTCTCCAGTTACTATCTCAATTTGGTCAAAACTGAATAAACTCACTTTTCCACTCCTATGGCACAGCCTGGCAAATATACCCCAACAAGGGGCTTGAGGGGGATTAACTACTCTCCTACTCTTGTAGAGAAGAGTGAATGAGTCCAGAGAGATTCAGACTTCTGACAGAGCTCCTGGCAATACTGCAGTATTGAGAATTGAATGGGATCTACAGAATTCAGAGTAGGGACACCCAGACCAGCCTGGGATTCTGAAGGTGATACCCTGGGAATCTCAAACACTTAGTAGACATCAGTGAGGCAAAGGAAGGGAGGCAGCAAAAAGCACCTCACAGGCAAAGGGGGCAGTGTGAGCAAAGCATGGGAGTGGGGTGGGGGAGCCAGGAGCTTGGGGATGGAGAGGACACATTCCCAAAGCACAAAAATCAAGTCAGGGAAACGTGATCCTGGAGAGGCGGATTAAACGGTAACGCATACTCGGGCAAAAAATGAGGGTTTTTAAATAGGGCTTTTGTCATGAACAAGTTAAAGAACTTTTAGTTGGGGAAGTGACACCATCAGAATTATATTTAGAGAAACTGCAATGGATATGAGGAAGCTAGATGGGGAAGGGGTGGAAAACTTGAAGGAAGAGTACAAAAACCAGTCTGCAGGAGAGAGCAGGCGAGCACCTGAATGAGGGCAGTGCTGGCAGGGTTGAAGGTGGCCAAACCACCCAAAAGGCAAGCCCTGTGCACCCACACAGTGGCTACCACTCAGTAATGAAAACACAGTACACTGACACATGCTACTACATGAAGAAACTATGCATGCTAAGTAAAAAACGCCAAATACAAAAGACTACACAGTACTTGATTCCACTCAGAGGAAATGTCCAGAAAAGAAAACCTACAGATACAAAGTAGATTACCAGTCACCTGGGTCTGGAGTAGGTATAGGGATAACTACTCACATGCACGAGAGATCTTCCTAGAGTGGTACAAACTTCTCAAACTGGATTAAAAATGCTGATAATTGCAGCCAGGCATGGTAACACACACTGGTAATTCTAACCATCTGGGAGGCTGAGGCAGGAGGATTATAAATATCAATCCAGTTTAGACAATTTAGTGACTTAGATGGATCCTGTCTTTAAAAAAAAAGAGCTGGGGATTTTGCTGTGTGCAGGCTCTGGGTTCAATCCCGTGTTATAAAAATAAAATGGTGATGACTGCACACTAAAAATAGTAATGAGAATGAGACAGAAGAGCAAGCTAAGGATGTATTCCTATGGTGGGAAGCTGGATTGAATGCTCAATTGCTAGCAGAAAGCCCCAGTTAGAAAGCATAAGAACCCTAATCCCACAATTCAAATGCATAGATTCCATCCATCTCCTGCACAACAGGGGGTGCTGCTCAGGTTTTTAATCCCAGAGAGGATTTTCCACAAAAAAGATAATAAATTTTGACTGCAACACAGCTGTATCTGGTGTTTATAAACTCTGACACACCGATCTTCTATTCTCTCTTCCCAGCATGGTGCCTGAGAAATGAAGGCGTGAGTTCTGTGCTTCTGGGATCATCTACTCCTGAGCAACTCATTGAAAACCTCGGTGCCATTCAGGCAAGTACTACAGCCCTTTCCTGCAAACTACTGGGAATGCCATGGTGCCTTTAACATGTCTCCACCTGTCTGGGAGTAGGGGAACAAAGGCGTAAGAAGCAACAGAAAGCTTTTGGTTTACAAATCCAGGGTTGCCCCCAGGATTACTAACAGGCAGTGTGCCCAAACCTAATTTCTCAGGATGGCTGTTCTCTGTACAACACTGCATTCCAGTATTACTCCCAGCAACTGGTTTCCTAGGCCTAACCATAAATACCTTCTTACTTGCCTACTTGAAATCTAATAGAAATGGGACAAAATATACACGTCATTTACTCCCTCCACAGGTATTACCAAGCTCCTCTGTGCCAAGTCCGTCCTCATTTCTCATCTCCTAGCCTCCTGTTATTTTCCCCTTCCCATCATAATAAATGTGTACCTGCCTGTCTCCTCTGGTAGACTGTACACCTTCAGAGGCCAGAGACCTGGCCTTGATTCTCCACTGATTTTCTAATTCCTAGCATATTATATGGCCCTTAGTTATCACTCATCCAATAACTGTTGCACAAACATTTGCCAAGCTTTAAGACAAAATGGGTTCAAAAATTCTATTTAGACTTCCACAATCCTATCTCCCTAGAAGCAAATGAGGGGGCCCACCCTACTCCCAGGGATGGCTTGTGGTCCTGGCTTTAGATGGAGCAGCAAAAGGAGGGCAGGTGGGAGCCACAGGGTGTCCTGGTGTTCCAGCTAAGCAGAGTGGTGGAGGTTGGTAGCTGTTGTGACCACACCTCAGTCCTGAGCCTGCTCAACTGAAGGCCCTAGGAAGAGCCAGTCACTACTTGCTGTGACAGGCAAGGATGAGTATCTGTTTCTTTCTTACCCACAGAGGAACAGAACTGTCTCACGGATTCTCCCCCATCCACCTGTTCCTGTTCCTGTTAGCTGTCTCAAAAGGAGAGATTAAACAGAGGTAGAGACAAACTTCAGAAGAGTGTAAAAAAGCCCTTTTAAGTAACAACCCAGAATAGGCAGGGGGCTAAATGGTACAGACTGGCTTCCCACCAACCCCTCTTGGGAATATAGAGCAGGGTAAAGTGCTACCACCTCTCTGCTTCCAAGAACTCGGTCCATTCCCAAAATTCTGTGGGGCCTGCTTCTTCATGGAGAAGGCTCCCTCCCGGAGCTGCTCCACAGAGTTGCTCTACACAGTGAGGACAGGAGAGAGGGAAAGTTTGTAAACAAAAGAACTAAAATTCAATCTAATGATTTTTATTCCACTAATATTTTTGGAGCACTCATTCTGTCTGGCATCAAGAGTAGGGGGTGGGAGTATTGTAATGAGTAAGAACAAGATCCTGGGGGGCTGGGGATTTAGCTCAGCAGCATAAGCACCTGCCTTGCAAGCAGGGAGTCATGAGTTCGATCCCTGGTACCGATAAAGACCAAAAAACAAAAAAAAAAGAACAAGATCCTGCTCTCAAACTGCTCATGAGCTGGCTGAGAAAATCAATTAAGAAATCTATCCCTTAATTGATTCAACAGCCTACTCTATCAGACACTGGTGATACCCAAGGACAAAAGAAAGACACTGTCCAATCTCTAAGAAGCTTATACTCCATGACACAGATAAAAATAAACACAAGACAGCTATCGAGGCATGGTGGTGCATTCCTGTAATCCCAGCACTTGGGAGGCTGAAGCAGGCTGATTTGAGACTAACTGGGTTACAAAGTGAGCCCAAGGCCAGCCTGAACTGTATAGTGAGATCTTGTCTCAAAAAAAAAAAAAAAAAAAAAAAAAAAAAAAAAAAAAAACACAAAATTATTTCATGTTGTGAAAAGAGCTACTCAGTAAACAGGCTGTTGTAATAATAGGAAAATGCGGGGCCTACCATTCATGCCTCTGCAAAAGGTCCTTCTGCTGATGTTTATTTCAAGGCCTTCCCATTTATTCACATCCTTCTCAGAGCATTTGAAAAGCCCAGGAGTTTATTCCAGGCACAGGGAGAACAGTACAAAGGCCTGAATCAGGAGGAAACTTGGCTTTTCCCAGACATTGTCGGCCTCCAGCCAATGTGGTCACTGTGCTGCAAGCAAAGAAAAAAGGAGCGGGATGCACTGATGTGCAGAGCAGGCACCGTACCTCCCAGGACACTGTGGACAGCAGTTTATCCTTCATGTATAAAACTCCTTGGAAGGTTTTAAGAGAAGGGACACGCTTCCACTGCATAAAGATGACTCTACCCGCATGCGGAAAGCAAAAAATGAAAGGCAGGGGAAGCAGTCTAGGATATAGAGGTGGAAGAGAGTAATCAATCTCACAGGTTTGGAAAAGACAAACATGGGTTGGCAGAGAGAGAGGAATGCAGAGTTCTTACTATGCTAACTCGGGGTGATCATGCCATCTCAGGGGAGGTCATGCAGCCAAGGAAAGGCGTACAGAGGGAACTGTGAGTCACTTTTCTTCACAAAGCATTTCCTCCCCAGCAAAGCTCTGGCTGGTAAAGGATGGATGAGGCAACCATGCTCACAGGAAAGGAGAAAAGCAGTGTTAGTTACCCAAGCAGCAAGACTACCTAGGAATGGGGCATGGGGCAGCCCAGAAACTTTCTGCTCCACCTCTATACACCCAGCACTGGTAGGATTGGCTACAGAAGAATGCAAAGTGTGGAGTGCCCACCCTTAAAAGGAATTTTCTGGCAGGTGGGGAAGGCAGCTGCTCCAAAGGACAGAATGTGCTTAAGGCATACAAAACCTGGAGAGGCGGATACAAATCAGATGTTCCATTGGAGGGAGAGACAGGACAGAAACTACAGCTGCAGGCAGCCCAGCCCTACAGGTCTTCATCTTTCCCACTTCTACCTAAAACTAGTGAGCAGAACTGCCTCAGCATCACCACCTCCAGTGCTTCCCTGGGTCTCCCAGGCTCCCCATCACCTACCCAGAGAAATCCAGGCTCCTGAGCAGCCAGCCCCTTTGTATCAAAGCCTACAGCCCCTAGTACTCCAAAATACACACACACACACACACACACTCACACACCCCTCCCCAGAACCTTAATCTCCAGCCACCAGCCACCAGCAGACCTACGTCCCTGGATGTAAAGAGTGGTCCATCCTCTGCCTCCCAAGTGGCTAACCCTGCCTAGCAAAATCCTGCATCATCTCCATAGCACAGATTAACAGTGATTCCAGTCAGGGAGGCCTTCCCCAGATGCCACCAGCGCAGGGACCATTAGCCACACCTCCTTTCACTCCATCAATTCTTCCAGCCAGGCTGCTGACAGGGGAAGAGAAGACATGGACCTGTTAAATAGCTTAAAATGTATAATTGTAGCCAACATTTTAAAAACCTGGATGATTTCAGATAAAATTCTGAGAGTATGGCTCCTCTTCATTTTGTTCCTATTACATATTTTCCATGTTTTACTCAAGTACTTTTATGGACTTTTAGAAATCTCTATCTTAAATGTACCTTGATATAATGAATTTTTTCTCTTGACATAGACACAAAACTTCTAACAAATCCAGATTCCAAATTTTAGTCTAGTTTTTACAGTCTCACTTTTAAATAATGCATTGCCTGTTTAGATCATGAGACTCAGAGCCAGTAGGTAATCAAACTTTACCTTTAGGAGCTTCAGATAGCAAAACTTTTACCAGAACCAAAAGCTGCCCAGGCTAAGAAGCTCCACGGTTCTGCCAAATCCTAAGCCTTCTGAGAATAGCACTTGAGTGGAGACAAGGTCACCTTGGCCAGAAGCATTGCAGCAAAGGAAGGGTGAGGCGAAAACCTCAGAATTGGTCATCATAATTGCATTTCACCACAGTCGCCACATAGGGTCAGACTTTTCCAGCAAGAAAGTCAGCCTTTGTGCCTGTCTTAAGAGTATGTGTCCTTGGGACTGGGGATTTAGCTCAGCGGCATAAGCGCCTGCCTTACAAGCAGGCAGTCGTGAGTTTGATCCCTGGTACTGATAAAAACGAAAAAGACAAAAAAGAAAATGAAAAAAAAAAAAAAAAGAGTATGTGTCCTCGGCCCACTTCCTACAACCAATGCAGGCCCTGGATGAGGCTTATCCTTCCCAGGGCTCCAGTGTGAACATCCATGCAAGTGGCTCACAAAGCCTCACCTCCAGTCCTCTGCAACTACCAAGCTCCAAAGCTGCACTTTAGCTGCCTACAAGTTAATTCTACCTCGATCAACATATACTACTAAAAACTTATCCCCAGATGGCTGTTCCTTTGGCTTCCAATCTCAACAAACTATATCAATAACTAGTCAGTCTCAAACCCATACCATGCTTGTCTTCTAGACTCTCTTCTCTGCCACCCCACTACCCTTGTGGCCCTGTCTCCAGCGGGCACTGCAATGCTCCAAATACATGTCCCTTCCTCACCTCTCCTAACTCACCCTTCTAACTACCTCCAGGTTGAAAGACTTACTTCTGATTCAAATCCCTGAGGTTCCCCATTGCCTAAAGTTTCAGCTCCATAAAATGACACTCAAAAACCTTGCCACAGTACCTCAATTTCTCTTTCCTCCACTTCTACTTCCACAGCTCCACCACACAGTATATCTGAGTTAGCACTTCTTATCTGTGATGCCAGTTAACCCTGGTCAGCCTTTGCAAGGATTCCAAACACCAGTTAGGAGTCTTTCCTCAGCCTCTAGACCAGTACTGTCTATGGCCGCAACTTCTAGCCACATAGCCACTGAGGTCTTGAATGGCGACTAGTCCAAATGTAGATATGGGGTTTAAAATGTTTACAGAAATATGCAGGGCTTAATAACAAAAATCAGCATTTTAATTTATCACACTGATTTCATGCTTGAAATGATTCTTTGGATATAATGAAATAAAAATGCATTAATTTTATCTTTTGCTTTTTTAAAGCAGCCACTAGAAATGTTTAAATTACATGCGGTTTACATTATGTCTACAGAATACAGTTGTTCTGTATTTCTATAAGCTTTCTCTCATGATTTTTCTCATGAGTCAAGATCCTTGACCCCAAGCAGCTTACAGTCTAATGGGGAGTTTATAATTCAGCTTTGTTTTATAAATAGATGCCTTTAATACTGAGCACAAGACAACATGCTAACTACATTCTTCCTCTCCTGTTCTCAGGTTCTCCCAAAGATGACATCACATGTGGTAAATGAAATTGATAACATTTTACGCAATAAGCCCTACAGCAAAAAGGACTACAGATCCTAAGGCAATGCATGAGCCACAGAAGCTGCATGGGTAAAATAGCAGTTTGTACCCGGTACAGACTGGTGTTGTTAGCCACCCTTTTGAATCACTTAGCAGCCTGCTGCTCAACCTCTAGTGTCCCTGGATTCTCTGGTGTCTGCTGTTGCTATCACTGTGCACCTGAATTCTAAGCACATCTGAAAACTCATAACCAAGAAATCCATTCTATTTTCTTATCTTAGACTGGAGTCCCCTCTCCTTGCATTGCTCTGTACACCTCACGCTTATGCAACGGGAAAGAACAATAGGGGAAAAGACATTACTTTCAGGTATTTGTTAAAGAAGGCTGTACAGATATATTTTTTCAAAAAGAACAAAATCCACAGATGTAACATAAATTGCTAAGAGACAGAGCAGGATATCCTCATTTAGAAGTCTTGCTTGGGAGAACAGAAACTTTACATTTTAATTCATACTCATATTACCAAGTTTTATTTCATTTGTCATTCAACAAGTTTCTAAAATCATGCTTTCATTGCCTTTTAAGTACTTATTGATGCTTTGTCCTATACATTGTATTCAGAGTGTCTTTTAGGATTCTAATAATGTTATGTCCATTTACATGTAAAGATGACAAATGAGTTCTCCACTCTTCAACTAGACCTTGTGGATAGTGTATGACAGGGAGTTATATTGACATGGAAACTTAAGCTCTGAATAAATTGTATGTACAACTGAGTGTTCACTTTTTCCACATTTTACTAAAACCTGCTTTATACTTTTAATTGCTTGTAAACATTCTCCAAGTTTTAAATATTGAGCTTTAAAAACACATATGCTCAGTTTTGTAAGTGAACCTGTAAATACCCAGAAAGGCAAATGTTCACCACTGGGACTTTTTAATATAATGCTTGGTATATGAGAGTTCCTAACATGAAAATCACAGGCTTTGTGAAAGACATGTCACTACTCTGAATATGCTGAACTTATTAACTTTCCCAGTGAAAAGGAAAATGTCCAAGAAATTCCTGATTTTAATCATATATATACCATAATATATGCATGAAAACTCTTTGCATGGATTAAACAGGCATAGTCTTGCTGCACTCAGAATCTGAGGTGTATCTAGCCTTTCCACTTTGGCTACTTAACTTCACTAATATCCCACTTGAGAAAAACTGAGAATATACTTCGTGTGGATATTTGTTCAGGGAAGAGCAGGGGATATAGCTCAGCAACATAGCACCTTCCAGGCAAGCTCTAGGACCTGAGTCTGAGTCCCAGTTTAAAAAATAAAAAAAGCAAGCAAGCAAGGAAAGAAACGTCTTACTTTTTTCAGGGTTGAGAGTGGTTCTTTAGCCGGGTGTGGTGGTACACACCTGTAACCCCAGCTCTCAGGAGGCTTTTGAGGCAAGAGGATCACTATAAATTTCAAGCCAGCCTAGGCTACAAAGTGAGTTCAGGGCCAGCCTAAACTGCACAGCACATTCCGGTCTCAAAGACTCAAAGACAGACAGGCAGACAGACACACACACACACACACACACACACAGAGGTTCTTTTAATTCTATTTGGACACCTGAAAATGTGCAAAATTCTAATTACCTGGAAATCAGATAATTAGAGAAATCACTTTGAAATGTACAGAAGAAATATATCTTAAAATGCTATTTTGTCATCACTTCCAAATTACCTCATAGTTAAGTTCTAAATCTTACAATGTTAGAAACCAATAAATATTTCTTTTTGATCACTACTGTTTGTAGTCTGATAGAAGTTTGAAATTTTGCCTGTGACTATCAGATTAATGATGGAAATGGATTCCTTTTTCCAGTTGTTCATTGTGTATTCAATCCAGTGAACTAATGTATGCATAAATGACCTGACCATAAATGACCACTATCTTAATGGAAATGCAGTTTAACTTACCTGCTTAGAGTAATAAAAGCATTTTGTGCAATCTCCCAAGTTATCTACTCTTTCATTATAAGGCATAAGCAATGTATATACTCTTACATACATACAAAATGTTACCATTAAATAAGCAATAATCAACTAAATATATTGACAAGTAAGTTGCACTGAGTACTCAACAAAACAGTGACCAAAACTGAGATTTAAATTTTAATCTAAACATTTTTCTTTTTTTTTTTTTTAAACATTTTTCTAATGGTAACATTTACTAATGGTGAGTATGATTACCTACTTTTTTCTCTGGATTTACAAACATTCTGCCCTAAGGTTAAGGTTTCTCAAGCCCACTTTAAAAAAAAAATATGCAAACCAAAATCAAATACAAATAGTTTTGGGACCAGCCAATTTTTAAAAATACAAATTATCTGCTAAGGTAAATAAGGCAGATGATATATTTCACAATTATGTTCTTAAGAAGAAACAATTCTACACACGCTCATTTTCTTTTCCTCTTAAGAATTTCTTGGCAGAAACATATTACCCTTCCAAAGGGTAATCTGGGTGGTGGCCATCCCTATACTGACATTAGGCAGGAGAAATTCAAACCAGGAATCTGTGCCTGGCTTCCCACTTCAAGAACTGACACTTCATCTTTATAAATAAGTTCCAAAAGTCACAGGCAAATGGCAGTTATGAGAAACCTTAGCCATCTGCAAAGCCACCTACCTCCTTTGATCAATGAGAAAAACAGAATGGATGAAAGAATATGCCGAAAATCACACTGCTTTCTGACAGCAAAACCAGGATTAGAATCTACACACTTCGTGTTCTAGATCAGTGCTCCAGTTAAGAATTGGGGGGGGGGGCTTTAAACTTCTATGCATTTCTTAATATGTGTAAGAATTATTCAGTTTAAAAAGCATGAATATTAATACAAATTCAGCAATCAGAAAAGAAGTGCAATGAAAACTGAAGAAGGTAAACAGGAGTTAGTTTTTAACTATCTTCATGGAAAATCTAACCCTACCAGTCAAAAGAGTCCCCCCGAAATGTCCTCTAATTATCCTATTTGGGAGTCTGGGGAGGCAGCACATAACCATTAGTGCCCAATCGTGTATCTGTAAACTGGTTTTCTCCACACATGTATATCAGCATGTGACATACCTTCAGTGTTCCCCAGAAAGAGCCATAACCAGCAAGCACCTTGGAAAGAAGGTAAGCAGTAAGGCACAGCAGGCACACACTGGCAATGGCCTGGCATCTGCTCTTTACTGTAACTATAATATGCCTGCCAGCATCTCACAAATATCTGATCAGTAACTATAAAGACTTTTCTTAAAAATTATGTATATATTAAGGGCTGGGGATTTAGCTCAGTGATATAAGCGCCTGCCTGGCAAGTGTCAGGTTGTGAGTTCAATCCCCAGTACCAAAAAAAAAAGTTCAACATTTTAGGCTGGGGATTTAGCTCAGTGGCACAAGCACCTGCCTGGCAAGCGCAAGGTCATGAGTTCAATCCCCAGTACCAAAAAAAAAAATCATGTGTATACATTCAACTTCCATATTGCAGATAACCTCACACCTTGTTTCAAATTATTCTTTCTAAATCACAGTAATATACCAAATAGGACAACCTGCACATTTCAAAATCCAAGATTTTTATTGAACTGTAAATGAGGAAACGAAAATTCACAAATGAATGTGTTTACCACTAAGTTTCTCTGCATTGTAAGTGTGGAAATAGGAATGCAATCCTTTTAAATCCCAATTTCTGCAGAATACCTTTTATTTTACTGGTATTAGGCAAGGGTCTTTTTAAGATGGAAATTCCCCTGCAGGTTTTTACTATCTTAGTCTGATTCAGCACATCGCAACTCTATGTACTGCATAGTTCTTTGTGATGATAAGAACACTGAAGAAAGATTTCTGAATTTCCACAAGTACTACAATAAATCCTTAGCATAAACTGTCCAACTCTGAGTACACAATCACATACACATAAATGCATAGAAAGTTGGAGAACAGTATCAGGATTTTTTTAAAAAGTGCCACAGGAAATATTCAGGACAGAAAACAAGGGGCTGGGGATTTAGCTCAGCGGCATAAGCACCTGCCTTGCTAGCAGGCGGTCGTGAGTTCGATCCCCGGTACCGATAAAAATGAAAAAGGACAGAAAACAAGTTTTGCTTACTCACTTTCCCACAAATTTTATCAATTTTTTATACCAAAAATGGTGGCAATTTTTTTTCACGTACACAGGCACTGCCCTCTAGTGGCAAGTTTTCACCAATAGTTTAAAATGTATTTGGTTCGGCTCTGGTTACACTTTAAGATTTGTCTAAGAATCATTTCATCAAGTAAACAAATGTACTGGGGTACATGAATTCCACATCACCAAACTATTGACTTTCAAAGAATTTTTAATCACAAGTAAATAAAAATGAAGAATATAACAAAAATGAACCTCTTTATGTGCTACCCAGCTGTACTTTGCAGTCTATCTCTTCCTTATTCACTCCATTTTAGCCAATGATGCCACTCGGGTAATAATACAGCAGAGTAAAGAACTGCCAACTTCTAGAAGGAATGATGAAAATTAAACCCAAATGCAGACACTGACAATTGGAGTCACTATGCAAATGTATTCCTGCCCCTCTTTCAAAAGTTCTTGGAGGCAGTACACCAACACGTCTAGTAGCACAGAAGTAAATGCTAAACTGACAAATACTGTTTAAAAAGTTATAAATAAGTATCACTTATAAAGTTCACCTGAAATTTTGACATGAAAACTAAAGATCAGCAATATATTCCCCTTAAGGTACAACTTGTAGGAAATTAATGTATGCTGCCAAAAGCTTACAGAATTATGAAACCAGTATCATTAATGATAAGTAAAAAAAAAAGTCAAAGTTTTTCAGTTCATGGTACAGGCAATAAATGATAATATCTATAAATACATTAGTAAAAAATGCAAGACTGCTCTCAGCTGTACCCTCTAGGGCTGAAGAGATAGATATTTTGTTCACAACAGACAGGAACTTGTAGACTAAAGAGTCGAACTTAAGAAAGTTCTAGAGGAAAAACACTGACAAGCATTTACACCACTGCAAATTCCTTGATGAGTTCTTAGAATTCCAGAATTACATTCACAAAATCACTTTGGTTTTTTTACGTGTCAATATCAGGAAAGCGGGTCTCTCTCTCTCAACTTTTTCCAGTGGTGTGAAACTATGGTCATGGAAAATAATGATTCCAATGACAACCTATGAAACCAACATGGCAGGGTCAACTTGACCTCTGTGGCCACCCAGGGCCAAAGTCATACAGATGAACAGTGTGTGCTTCAACTCTCCAGGCCAACTCTCATAGCCCTGCGGCACTATTTTTAGGTTACTTCTACCTTGGCTGCCTTTCTTATTTAAAAAAAACAAAAACAAAGGGTGGGGAGAGATGTTCAACTAACAAATTCAGAGCCTTGTAAACATGAGGCTTCTGTTCAGTCCCCTGGGAAGACAATTCATTCTGATATTTATGGTTCAAAAAAGTTGTAATATTGTGCTTGGAACGCAGAGAACCAGTTATTAACTTCTTGCTACTATTATAAATAATAACAGCTCAGCCCACAGGTTACTGTGACCTCTGACAGATCAAGGAAACAAGTTATTTTCACCACTTGTTATTAGAGCGCATTACAAGTCTTCTTGCCTTTTAATAAATGTTCTGGTACTCTGAGTTTCCCTTTCAATTCATTTAATTTCACCAATCTGTCACAAAGAGCCAATAAACAAATAACGAATTACATTCTGTTACATTCTTTCAAACCCTCAAACTCCAGAGACTATAAAAACATCTTGTGTCTCTCACACTGACCACCCTGCTCCTTTTTCATACACCACAGGCCACACATAATACACAGCAGGGTGCCAAGTGACATGGTCTACTTGGAGCCAGTTGACAGGAGGGCGATGAGTCCTGATGAAGCACTTATGGACAAAATGTAGTTCCTGAAGAATTTAATGTTAAGGAAGAAATATTAGTTTTTCAATCAAATAAAAACAGTCCTTCTCTTTGGAATGTACTGTTTCCCACCAACACTCAGTATAACCAAAACGAGGGGTAGCTGTCTATACAGTTTACAAGAGTGAAAAATATTCACAGGAATGTGTTCGGATTTTAAAAACAAAACACAGCGAACCTAGATCTAGGATAGACGATTACTAAGAACACCCAAATCTCGCTTAACCCCCAGAACAGCTGACTGAGGAACACATAAGGAAGACATATACGTGCTGCTTTCCTCCACTAACAGCAAGGGAAAAGCCAGCCTCCTATCAATCACTGTCTTGCTGCAGTGCTGCAGCTTATGAAAAAGTCTGCAGCTATTCTCAGTCTAAGAACTTGGCTATTTTTGACAAACCACTGTAGGAGTATCTGATATTATATCACTCATAAATCTCCAATTGCTAAGTCTGGGTAACACCTTTAGTAGATAACCATTAATAAGAGACAAATGATTCTCAGTCAACTCTCAATTTAAAAGTAGCCTGATACACTTTTAAAAATTATGAATTGTGCTTACTTAACTACACAGCCCATCCACCCAACCTCAAAGTCCCAAAATAACAGTAGATATATTTGGTTACGGCAGGAGCTATCAAAGAAGGTAAGTTTGCTTTGACTCCTTTTACAACATTTAGGTCACATAATCACGTACACAGTACAAGCCTATTTTGTAACATTTGTTTTTCATCATAAAATCACAATTTACAAAGTTTAAAAAAATTTTAAATCAGACCCAAAACTATTCTTTTAAGGGTCCAGAAACTTGTCCATAGTCAGGGCTATTTAATGGATAAATTCCCAGAACAGTTTTTCTTTCCTCTATAATACCCATTAAATTACAATACCACTGTCCCTAGGCATCTGAAAAAGTTAATCAGCCTTCTAAAGGATACACTGTAGGGTTGAAGTTCTTCAGTATAAAAAAGGAAGCAACAATGACCAAGACCAGGAACAAAGTGTTGTTATAAAAGATGGAAAATGTTGTAGCTTCATAATCAGCAACTTCATTCTTCTTCCACAAGATTCTAGAGACATAGAAGCAAGTCAAAAGTTTATAAATATGGCTAAAAACTTTAAATACCACATGGCTCTCATTTGTTTTCAGTTTTTCCTTAAGTGCTCAAGGCTGATAATGCATTTTCAATAAATTTAGTAAGAATGTCCCCTCTTTCTTCCACTAAAAAGGCTATTTTGCTCCTTTTACCAATGGTGAAACAGTTGATGGGTATGTCACCATTCTTCCCAGTCAGCCAGGGTTATGGAGGAAGAGCCTACCGCTAACAGCCATCTTTCTCCAGGTCCACACCTATAAAATACGCCTTGACAATACCTGGCTGATGGATACAGGCTTCAGTAGCCTCTGTGGCCAGCCCCTGGGCTTGAGGCTCTAGTACTGCGTATGGAGTTCGCACTCAAATTCAATCTGAAGAAAACAATCCTTACAACTAAAAGTTGTCTGTGGTCTTAGCTATCTTTCCTTAATTCAAAGAATCAGCTTTATCATAAAAGGACTTTTTTAAATTTATAAAACCCCTTTACTTTTCATTGTCTTACTTGTTCTGATATTTCATCTTATTTTTTACTAGCATTTCATCTGTCTTTCGTTTTAGCCCTCCACACAAGTGAGAAGTTCCAGGGTACCTCTGAATGGCTGACTGTATTACTCTTAGTTAATTAACTTTGTAAAGCAATTATTAAGAGTAGATTGTAAACTATTAGTGGGATGTGAAATGCTCTGAGTGCATCAACTGCCCAGAGAAATTAACTGAGTGGGTTGAGATCAGCATTTTTAAAAAATGAATACAAAAATAGTAAAGACTATACCACACAGCAGGGTAATTATTAGTCTGTAAAACATTTGCATATATGAATGTACACATATGAATGCATTCTGCAAAAAAGGTAAAATAGATTGTTTTACTGTGGGTCCTCATTGAAAAGACTGAAAGGAATTGCTTTGGCTGAAAAAGATACCATTCTTCAGTGCCAAGCAACGCTTTCTCCTACCACCTTCATGTACCTTAAGGATAATGAACACAGCTAAAGAGTTTTTTTCATGAGTTTCAAGAATTTTTTAAATGTCCTAATCCAAAGTCAACAAGTTTGGTTGTAAAGGGCCAAAGGACTAAAGGGCCTTATCTTCATCATAAGAAATCTACTCTTTTACATATATGCCATGTTTCCTTGAAGCTAATAAATTTTCAATGTACTCAAAGTTTGGGAGAAAAGGAGGATGTTACATTAAGTATAGGTATCAAATATAAAATCCCTTCTGATTTCAAAGAAATTTAAATGTAAAATTTAAATTATAGGTAACTTAAAACTGGCCAGGTATGGTGGCACATACGCATAATCTCAGAACTTCCAAGTTTAAGGCCAGCACAAGGCCATCCTGGAAAGCACATTAAAACCCTGTCTCAACACACGCATGGAGAAAATGCATTTTACCATCCTTAGAAAGATCTATGAAAGCAAAGCATTCATTTTTCACACAAAACTTAGGCACCTCAAGTAATCTCCTAGCATGCCTTTACTGCTTAAATTACTCAATCTCCAGTACATTTCTTCCTAGCTACCTCCTTTTCTAGCATGTTCTGAATTCCAATCATCTTCACAACAGTTTTGATGAAAGAAGGCCCAATGTATTAGTTATGTTACCCTTGCTCCCAATTATTATCATGTATCCTTCAGTATACACAAGTCAAGACCTGTCTGACAGCCTTTGGAACTCTTTCTGGTCCACCTATATACTCATTACTTTGATAAAAATTTAAACCCCCTGAATGTACTCTTTCTCAAAGCTTCACTCATAGAAAAATCTAGCTTCAGAGAGTACCTCCCATGGAGTCACTCTTCTAGGAAGAGCTCCCTTAACAGAAAAGCTGAAACCCAACAACTACTGTTATTACCAGAGGACAGATCACCAATAAATCAAAAATAAGTAACACTCATACCCTAGGGGCAATCATGAATGAATCTTCAACTCTCCTCTGCTTATTTCCATCCTTAGATGAATGGGTTATTTTAAAGCACTTTCCAAAAGGTACAGAATACATACTCTAAAGATTGCAGAGAGAGATACAGATCTAGGAAAAGAGCTGATAAGCTTTCCTTAGATCAAATCTCCTACAAGCAGTATGTCTTCTGAGGGAAAAACTTAGCAAATCTTAAGAGAGTCTCAGCTCTCAGTTATTAGTCAGTCATCAGTACAGAAATAACAGTACAAATTTCTACTGACAACAAGGATAGAAATTTTATAATTTTTTCACAGTCTGCATTTTATACATCCATGAATTATCTACCTTACTTATAAAATATGCCATCATATGACAGAGAGGCTTCATTCTCAAATCCAACTCTGACCCATCAGAAACAACTACATAAACACGAAACAGATCCCAACATTAAAAACAAGTGTCAGGCCAAATGAGGCAAGTCTGTGGTGGGCATTTGTCATCTCAGACACAATCATCAGCCTAAATTTTTAACAGCTGTAACAAGCATTTTGAAAGCTGAGTAGTTATGATATGCACCCCAGTTCAAGAAACACTACTCTAATGCAATTCAATAAAAAAAAATTTTTTCAAAGTATCTTAGATACTCAGTGTCCCTTACATAAGAATCTTCTTGATAAAGTCCTCCCAAGACTCAGTGCCAGGAAAGTTTCTATTTAGAAGGACTCGCATGCTGCTTACCTTCAGACCATGAAAGCTATTAGGACTGCAGACGCTTTCCTGGGCACCTGGGAGCTAGGAGCTACAGTTAGTACTCAAATGCTGTCACCCCAGGGTCCTCACACACGTATTTTTGAAAAATGGTTTCTGATCTAAACAAATTACATGACTTTGTTTTAATATTACAAGTTCCCACAGGATCAAAGTATGGCAAAAATTTTGTCCCACAAATCAAGCACATCGCTGATAGTAAAACTTAAGGTATATGAAAAACAAGCAAACTCATGTCTCTTCTAAACCATCTGACAACTCTTATGCACAGTCTCAATCATTCAGGTACACAGGCTAAATATTAAGACTTCAGAGGACCTGACATAAAAAACTGAGAGGGAGACTAACACACAGCACACAACCAGGCCACATAGAAGACAACCCATTTCTTTCCTTTACTCAATAAATTGGTTCAATTTCCATCTAAGAACTGGATGTTCCCCGGAAGCTCAGGACCAGAAATACTACCACCTAGAAACTGTCATATGTAACACAGTGTAAACCCTTCAGACTCTCAGGGATTAGGTGACACGTTAAAGGTCATGCAAATATCAACAACAAAGATTGGATACAATGAGGCTCTGTCTTCGCCTAAATTCAATTCCTTTATAGCAGTTATAGGAAAAGCACTCAAGTCAGATTTCCTATCATACAGCCACTATGTACTAATCTACAAACCTGGGCAACTTACCCAAGCTTTCTGTGCCTTAGTGTCCCCAGGTGCAAAATGGAGCTAACAGTAGTACCTACCTCATTCCTTAAAAGAAATTAACTGTGTTAAATAGCTCCAAAGAAAGGATCGTGCTAATAAAACCGCAAAAAGTCAGCTACTACTATTTTCCATTACCAATGCTATGATTCCAAAATTTACCTTCAATTCCATTAGCCACATTTGCTAAGCAAAACTCAAAAGCCTATTTTTCTCCAGTGTACCTCCTTTTCTGATTACTACTAACATTTTAAAATAAGTCAAACCTTTCATCTTTTTCTTTCCGAGACATCCTTCTATTATCAGCTTCAGAAAGTTTTCGAGTCACTTCTTTAGAAACAGCATCCTCTCTCTTCTGTGCTACTCTGGAAGGAAGGAAAAGACAAAAACGGAAGTTTCCACGTGTTCCAAGGGTGAACAGCATACTCCAAAAACACTTTACTCTGATTTCGTATTGGCGACTGAATGATACCATACATTTCAAGAAAACAAACTGCATGGCTTATTATACTGCTACCCAAAAGAGTTCATGAAACTTCTAATAGGTGGTTCATTAGTTATTAAATTCTCGAGATATGGTTTGTTAGTTATGTGCTTTGATTTCTGTTTAAAAGAGGCATTTTCCCAAAGTTTAGGTATTTAATATGGATATAAAAGTCAAATGCTATTAGCATAATTCCTAATCATTTTATTTCTTTTTTCTTTTCTTTTTTTTTAAGACTGGCTCTCACTGTGTAATTCAGGATGCCTTGAACCTGCAGCGATGCTCCTGCCTCAGTCTTGAGTGCTGAGATTACAGGAATGTATTACCATGCCTGGTCCTATAAGTATATTTCATTTTAACCTCTAATTTATTCAGCAATATTGTAATACATTAGTAAATGATAAGTGATTTTAATTCCAAGTAAATGAAAGGACAGAAAACTTGACTTAATAAACAATTAGGAATTAAAAACTTGGGCTGGGGATTTAGCTCAGCGGCGCAAGCACCTGCCTTGCAAGCAGTAGGTCGTGAGTTCAATCCCCGGTACTGATTAAAATGAAAAAAATGAAAAAGAAACTAAAAACTGTAATTATCTTTAAAGTTATGCTTTTTAACCCCAAAGGACAATTTCATTTGAAAAAGCAATAGGACATGGACAGAGATAGACCACATCACTTCTAGTTAAATGAGCGACTGGTGTGAGGGTTCCACCAGTGGTTTATACGGAGTCAGCCAGAAAAGCCTAGAAATGTTAATCAAGAACTCAGACCAGAATCTTTAGTGCAGTTATATGCAGAAAAAATTAAATATATATTTATCAAAAAATACATGAATTTTATCAGATGAGGCTGTTAATGAAATAATAAAATTTAAACTATGGTGAAATACAAAAAACCCACTCAAAATCATAATATTTAAATTCCACACAGTGTATTTTTCATAACCTAGTAACTAGTTAGCCATAAATATAGAAAAAAAACAGTTAACTGACCGTAAGTCAAATTTAACAAATTACTATCAGTCCTATTACAAAAACAATCAGCCAGGAATGTTGGCACATGCCTGTAATCCCAGCACTCAGAAGGCTGAGGTAGGGAGAATTGCAGCTGAGTTTGAGGCCAGCCTGAGCTGTGTAGAGCATTTAAGGACAGCCTGAACTACATATGAAAACTCTATTTCAAAAGAAAAAGGAAAAAAGAAAAAACCACCCAAAACAATCAAGGTAGTATTCCAATAAGACATGGAACAGTGATGTAGAAACCTGGGCATTCTATATCAAGAAATAATCTCCCACTGCTGGTCAGGGTACTGAGGAAAACTGGAGAAATCAGAGTGGGTTCCAACAAAGAAAACCTAAAACCACTCAAGGAAATACATTTCAATCCTTAGTCAAACCCAAGTGCTTCTACCACATACTGTAATCACAAACTGTGATTGACTTTCACCCAAGAACTGAGTTGGAACTCACATTGTTCTAAAGAAAACTTGTCAGTTTCAATGAATGCATTATCTAAAAAGATTCACAAAGTTACTTAGAAAAACAGGTAAAAGGGAGCAAATTCTAAAAACCCGAAGGAAAATGCAACAAGGGGCAGACGGGTATCATTTTACAGAGATATTTCAGGACTGTATAAGGTACTTTTACTCCAAAGACTAATTTTATTATGTAAAAACTATCTTTTCAGACACTTCTTTCATTCCTGAAAAGCCAGGCTCTAAAAGCAGAGATTTCTCTAAAAACAGACTGGGCACTAAGTATTGCTTAAAACTTAACATCCCACTGCTTTTTTTTCTTCCATAAAAGACCTACTGAAAAGAGATGAGCATGACTTTTCGGTAAAATTCTGTTAGCTGAACATCAAAACTACACACAACCATCAGGGTGCTAGGACACAAACTAGCTGCAAGTTAGACATCACTGAACATCATTAAAACAAATAATCAACTGTTCACATGTCAAATCTAAAAGACTAAAAAACAAGTAATAAATTATTTCTAAGTCAAGATTATTTTTATACTCACATATCAGACACAGGACAACCACTCTAGGCTTACTGTTACTCCAAAGAGTCTGCCCCTCTATCTTAAGGCTATGAGGAAAAACTCTCATGTAGTACTTAATGATTTATAATACGATGGAGGTCACTCCACTGGACTAGCAGTCAGCCAACTGAGAGAACCAATTCATTTTTCCTTCATTTTTTTTAATATCAGGAAATTTTCAGGAATCCATAGCAATATAGTAGTAAGAAATTAACTTTTTACATAGGCAAAATATGTGCCCAATACCACACAGAAGTGGCACTGAACTCCAGATTATGAAGCCATTGCCCCTCTACTATCATTTCCTACTACTCCTCAGCATCTCACAGGGTCTTTTTGTTGTTGTCAGCTTGTTTTTTTGGTTTTCAGACAGGGTCTCACCATGTAGTTCAAGCTGGTTTTGAACTCACTTTTTAGCCCAGGATGGCCTCAAACTCACAGTGATCCTCCTGCCTCAGCCTCCAAAGTATTGGGATTACAGGCATGAGCCACCATGCCAACTCTCACGTGGATCTTTGGGCCTTAACCATTTTGTAAATCCATAGTTTTGATGTCAAAATTAAGACTTTAAAACTATGAATTTAAAAAAATTCACTTCAAGAGCCTACTAAGTTAGAAAGTCACTGAAATTTTACTTAACTAAATATACCATTATCTGTTATAAGAGACACAAAGCAGCCAAGTATGGTGATGCATGCCTGTACTCCCAGCACTCAGAAGACTGAGGCAGGAGGACTGCTACAAGGTCAAGGCAACCTGGGCTATGTAGTGGGTTTGAGGCCAGCCTGAACTACATAGTGAGGCCCTGCCCCCCCCCCAAAAAAGAGAGAGAGACATAAAGCAAAAGATGTTAAGAGTTGCCTTAAAGAAACGTAAAGTAAGCCAGGTGTGGTGACACACACCTGTAATCCTAACACTGAGAAAGAAGGATTGCAGTGAGTTCAAGGTCAACCTGGGCTACATAATGAATTTAAGGACAGCCTTAACTATAGGGTGAGACCTCGTCTCAAAAAAAAAAAAAGAAAAAGAAAAAGAAAAATGTAAGTAGAAATAAGAAGGTAAAAAGAAAAAAAAATACAGCTTTGATTTCAAAGAGGTAAATTTAAAGTGGCATGCTGCACAAGTTAAAATGTTAAACATCAAAAGGACCAAGTTGCAGGAGGATCACAAAGGAAGTCAGGCAACAGGACACTTCTGAGTTTCCCTATCTACAGACAGTCAGGCCTCACGCAAGAACACAGTCCAGATCAACAGAAGTGAAGATGGGATGTCTCCTAGAATGGCAGCTGGCAAAAGGACTGCCAACCAGAAAGATGACCTTGCTATGCTGGTCTATTAGAACTGCAACCATGAAACCAGAGTGCCTATGCTTCCAGAATGACAGCAAGGAAGCTGCCGAGGTCATTTTCAACTGCTGCGGCCATTTATGGTCATTTCTTATAATAAATCCTTGTTAACTGACATCACCTCAGCAAAGTACTATTCCTCATCACCCAAAGAGACTAATGTAGGCATAACAAAGCAATGGAATGATCAAACTCAGGAAACATTTCTCTGGAAGTTTCCTTATGTCTTGAAATAACAGACATAAAAGAATAGAAAGGAAAGGAGATAACCCTAAATGGCACAAGGCACATTCAAAGGATGACACAAAGGCTGAGTCAAAAGGACTAAGTCCCAATTCTGAAAGACGAGGTTACACTCATACACAGGAAGCAGCTGCCCCACATTACAGGAGTCTGGAAGCAGCTGGCCTCAATACTTTAAAAAAAAGAAGACTGTGATGAGTTAAGAGAAAGATAATGTCAAATTAGGAGTACATACACTACAGGCCATAAAACAAGGCAACACCTGGATGATGGCTGCAAAGTAACACACTTTATACAATGCACAGCAGGGAAGCTTGAGTGGTGCTCAACTTTTCTGAGATCAAATGGACAGCGCTACAGCAATCCAAGCAAAGAAAGTGTTCAAATTACAGAGAACACTACAGAAATGAAAATATAATTTATATACAAAGCATCCCAGCACCTAAAATCTCAGCAAAATTCCAAATGTCTTTAACAAAATTACTTCCAAAGAAATACAAAATCTACGGGGACTCACTGAAAGAACTGTCCTGCTAACCCGAAAGTATGCACAAAAATAACTTCAAAGAGCACCCTTGCCAATTAAACATTAATTCACACCACTTCCCACAGAGGACCACAGCACTCAAATATAAGAAATTTTGATCTTTCTTCAATCTCCACTCCCCCTCTACTTTAACCTTTATGAAACAAGAGTATACAACTGTTTATAATTCAAGTATAAAGCTACTGTTGTTACATTTGGGTTTTCTTCTCCAAAAGCTATTGTTAAACTAAGTCTATGTTTTTTATAATATGTATGATCTTAAAATACAGAAAAATGATAATCCTTTACATCAAATTCACTTATAAAAATATAACCAGCATTGAAATGTCAGTTTAATTAAAAAAATAAATAAATAACTGGGTTGCACACATAGAGTCCCTGTAATCTGGAAGGCTGAGGCAGCGGAACAAAAGTTTGACCCCAGAGTGGGCAACTTAGCATGACCCTGTCTCAAATGTCCTGGGTTCAATCCCTAATACTGCCAAAAACAAACAAGTACCCCCACACATTTCTTTCACTTTACTAAGTGAACAGCACAAAATAGTTTTCAATTAAGAACTCTACATTGGACTTCTGAAATGTTATTACTTGGTAGGATTTTTTTTCCTGGTAAATCACAAGGTTAAGACTTGTGCTTTACATGTTCTCATTTTACCCTTAAAATCTACTTCCTATTTTTATCACATAACTCATTTTTACTGTATCAGATGGATCACTGTCTTTGTTTTGGTTAGCTAACAGTTCTTAGCACAAATACGCCTTCCTCCAAAGTATATATGCATATGTATTTCAAATTCATGCTTAGTGAATGAAACACACCTACAAAGTGACCTTTAAGAAACCTACTACTTAAAAAAGTAGTATATCATACATACTTTCACTTGAAAAATATACTTACTTGTGCTTGAGAACGAATTTTACATTCTTGTATGCAAAGGCTACCAAGTAAGTGCTTACTAAGGTCATCACACTGTACAGAACAGCAGACTGAATAAGATCCATGTGCCATATTCGCCAATATAACCCTGAATTGAGATAAAAAGGAACAAAACATTACTACCTTATTCCAAAGGCCTGCTGAATTAGTTATGGATAGGCTTGGTGGTAAAACACAGCAGGAGGGGTTAGGAAACACAGTTGGGGTTAGGAAATCCAATACAGTATCTGAGTCTCTTCGAAAGTGAGATACTCAATAAAAGCAATGACTGTCACAGTTTAGAATTCTCCTAGTGCAGGACAGTTTTAAAAACATAACCTTCGTATTCTTAGTCTACATAAATTTCTATTTCTAAAGTAATAAAATAAGAACAAACTCTAGTTCTACATAATCACTAGACTTCAAATGCCATTCATCGCGGTACTATTATACTAGATTCAGGCTATTCCAAAACGCCACGTGTAGCCCCAAACCACCACCTCTCGGGCTGACGTGGCTGTTACGGGAAATCAAAGCAGTGCTTCGCCCCCATTGAATTTTGGGGTCCCATATCACATTAACTGCACGTAGGGTTTTATGAGGCCGAAAAGGAAAATATATTTGGATTTGAATGCCAACAAGGTGCACAGTATGAAAGTATGAAGGCCTGAAGATTCAAATTCCTAAACCCTGAATCTAAAAATGATCCTGGGTCTAGTCTCCAGTGTCCCATCCAAGTGAGAATTACAACTGCTCTGGCAGGATTATTTAAGACTACACAAGGTAAACTGCTGACCCTTCATTCTCATTTTGCAAATCAAGAAAATGACGCTGAGCAGTGTGTATCGGTTCACCTACGGACATACTCCTAATTCAGTAGAATGAGGACGATGTGCCAGGATTCACGTCTAAACTATTAGTTTCTCCAAAATAACTAACCCTGAAAAATGTAGAAACTCCTAAAGCTAAGAAAACGGTGTGAGAAAAGGCAGCAGACAGATAAGCTCCGCAGGTCTAACTAACACATACGCGGACGCCGCCATTCAATTAGAGGAGCCGCGTCCGAAGCGGGGACCTGGACCGCCACAAGCGCCTCGCGGAGGTGCCGCCCACCTCGCCCCAACCTAGAGGTGCGAGGCGCGAAGGCTGCGCGCCCTCCCCAGAGCGCAGCCAGCTGGGAAGCGCGTGGGCCTCACGGTCGGCGCAACCTGCCACGTCCTCCTCGCCCGCCTGCGGCCTCCCGGCCCGCCTCGCTCCCGGAACTCACAGATGGGGATGGCAGATACGATGAATGCGTTCCCGAAGAAGAGCGCGGAGGACTTGGCCGAAAGGTTGCGGCTAAAATCCTGCAGGAGCAGGTCCTCCTCGGACTGCTGCTTGGAGCCGCCTTTGGGAGCCATGGCGGAGCGTAGGTCGGCAGCCGGGAAGTCCAGCCCGACGCGGAGTCGCCGGAGGCCGCTGGCCCCGCCCCCCGCGGCCGCCGTATCCGTTCACGACCCGTCAGCCCTGCGTGCGGAGGCGGGACTTGACGCGCTAAGGTGCTGGTCTTCCCAGGATTGGTCAGTCCGCTGTGGCCCCAGAGGCTTGACCGCGTGATTGGGCGAGCGAGCAAGACTTCCGTATTGCTGGCCTGCCACGTGACTCATGTAGTCCCGAGAAATAAGGGATTTGTAGTTTTAGTGACTACTTATATTTTTAATTGTAAAACTTATTGACATTACACTTCACAGCTCTTGATAGACTCGTGGGTTCCGAATCTAAAGAATTCCAAAATAGAAGTCCCTTTGGACTTTTTGGTCATACATTCATTAATTTAGCAAGTATATGGTTAGTAGCCTCAGTTCTCAGCACTTGGGGCAATGGAGAACACAGAATAATGTAGCTAAGACGTATAGAATCCCCCTTTATTACTTGCATTATTTTATTACATACCTTCAAGAATCCTAGGACGGGAACATTGTTGTCCCCACAGCAGATGAACTTGAGGGTGGAAGATTGGCAGTACTGCTCTTCAGGGTATGAACTTTTTATGGAAATAACTGGCTACCTTTGTACTAAAAGAAAGTGAAAGCTCTATTCTTGCTTGTAAACACCTCACGATGGTCATGAGTTCCTCGTGATGAAGAAATGATTTCGAAATGAAGGTAATACTTAACGTATAACTAATATATTCAGGGGTATTCCTATTGGATTACATTTATTTCAACTGAACCTTTGGGGTGTCTTCCAAAGCCATGCATTCTGAGGAAAGACACCATTAGCTAGGCAAGACTCTGCATTCTAGAGTGGTTGAATTTGCCTTACACCTTACACCAGTAGATGTCTTTCTTTCTTTTTTTTTTTTTTTTTTTTAACTTATTTTTGTGACAAGGTCTCACTATTTAGTCCAGGCTGGGCTTAAACTCACGATGTAATTTACGCTGGCCTCAAATTCACAGCCTCTTGCCTTAGCCTCCCAAGTGGCGCACCTACATGTAGATGCCATTCTGAACTCATCAAATTACTGCTTTTTCTTCAAAACAGAATACTCAACCACGTGACTCTCAGCAAATGTTTTTCTTTGCATTAGTGAAAGCACAACACATCAGGCAAAATTTCCTCAATCTCCAATTTCCCCATAAACATTTGTAGATATCTTTTTCCCCTCTGCTTATCCAAGTTATAACAAGCCTGTGTAGCCTCTATCCTAATTAAGATTTCTGTCTTCAATCTGTGCCAATTTATTCTATACTAAGTACCCGAATGAGTTTTCTGAAACAAAAATCCATTACCTACAAGTGCTCCCAAATGCCAGAAATTTTCATCACTTCACCACAAAATTAGAAAGAAAAACAAACCATCTAGTATATTTGTCTTTTTTTTTTTTTTTTTTGGCTTTTTCCTTTTTATCAGTACCGGGGATTGAACTCAGGACTGCCTGCTTGCAAGGCAGGCGCTTATGCCGCTGAGCTAAATCCCCAGTCCCTAGTATATTTTTCATAAAACTGAACATGTTCATTTGAAAATATCTCAGTTTTATATCCTTTTCAATGTTAAAATGCTTTCTTTAACACATGATAGTGATAAGAAACTTTTCTCTTTCTACTTTATCCTCTCCCAGTTTTTCATACCTTAGTAAATCATATCCTTTTTCATTCATATTTTCTCTATTTAAAATCCTAGGTTTTGCCAGGCACGTCGGCTCACACCTGTAACCCCACACTCAACAGCCTGAGGCAGGAGAATCGTTGAGTTGGGGGCCAGTATGGCTACAAAGTGAGCTCAAAATCAGCCTGAACTGCATAGTGAGACCCTGTCTCAAAAGGACCAAAAGATAATAATTCATAAATAATTCTACTTTTCAATACAAGTTCTTTTTTTTCCTTCTCTATCTATAACCAATTTATAAACAGAAATTTTTGGTTCTGTCTTCCTAACTAGATTTCCTACTGGCTGTTTATAAACCAAGGATGTAAAAAGACAACCAAATATAACAATTAGAAAACTATATGATCCAAAAAGACTAAATCATCAGGATATTTCTTGAAAAAGAAAATTAGAAGCAATAATAATGAAGAGGAATTATGCCTGAGAAATATATTTTAACAAAATAAGATAAAAATTTGAAATGATGATTTGATCAAATGTTAAAATTGAAGTGAACAAAAAAGGCTGAGAAATAACTGAACCTAATGAGCGTACATATAAGTAGACAATAATCTAAAATAGTAGAAATTTTCACAGAGGTAAATTAAAGAAATATGTTAGGCAATGACACTTATGACGGAGAAGGTTTTGATGACAGTAAAAATGAAGATCATGAAGTTAGCACACTTGTACTGGAACAGTGTTTTCTGGTCCCAAATTACCTAATTCATTTTGAAGAGCAGTAACATCTATGGAGTTGTGATTCGTACACAGAGGACAGTAGGCAAACAGGATAAACTACCAGAGAACAAAGAGGGAGCCAGTGGATTCAATCTAAATATAATAAAATATGCCCATTGCAATGTGATCAACTATATGAAGGAATCACATGGACTTAATTCTATATCAGACCAATTTTAATTTGTGAATTTCAGGTTTAAGATTCCTGCTATATCACTTTACACTTACCAAATTGAGAAAAAAAATTTTAAACAATCATATTAATTGCTGTTAGGGATATATAGACAGCAGTGTTCTCTAATCCATTGCTGATAGTTTTGTGGAAGAAAGTCTGCCAAGTTAATAATTTATATACTTTCTGAGGCAGACACCACAAATTGCCCACCCAGTAAAGAAAGACACTGCTAACTTTTCACTGGGCCCTTATAAAAATAACAAATGGATCATCTGGGGAAGATGAAAAAAAACACCCCTGTTTTAAAGCCCTTTGAAAATGCAAATCTCAGTGTGGAAATAATTTTGAGAGAAGAGATGGAAGACATATTAGTCTCTAGGTTGGTTGGTTGGTTGGTTTTTGAGATAAGGTCTCACTATGTAATTCAGACTAACTTTGAACTCAAAGTTAGCCCAGGCTGGCCTCAAACTTCCCAAGTGCTAGAATTAGAGGCAAGCATCACCATGTTCTGCTAGTCTAGGTTTAATGTTTTACTTCTCACCTGCAAGATCACTGACTCAGTCAAACTACATTTTTCAGGCAGTTTCTTGGATAGCAGCTGCCAGCACATCGCAGCTCTGGCCAGTGCATCCTTGGAACAGGTAGGATCTTGTGCCCAGCTCACAGGCAAAGTGAGCAGGCCTGGACTTTCCGTGGTGGATTCTCTGTCTCCAGGAATTTGACTATACAACCCCAGAAAGAAATAGTTAATACAGATGTACACAAACAGAACGCAGACTGAGAAGAGGTACAAAACGTAAACTATAACTCTCTAGCAGCCATAAATTAGAATGGGAAAAATAAGAAAGATTCTCAAAAAACCTCCGGGCTGCCTCATTTCTCTCTGTGTAGGTCTATAAAAGACCCCTATTTTCTGCAATAAAGCCAAATATCTCAAAACTTAAACATATTTACAGTACATCAAAATACATAATATAAACAGGTCCTACATTAGAAATGAATGTATAGATTAATAATTATTCAGCATAATTCATGTTTTATATATTCCTCCTCTCCTAAAGCATTGAAGGCAAAGTAAGAAAATCAGACGTCTAAAAATCAGGCAATTAGAGAACTGTGCCACCTCCCAGCATTCAGAAGGGTGAAGCAGGAGCATCACCAGGAGTTAGAGGCCAGTCTGGGCTATACAGTGAGTTCAAGGCCAGCCTAGACATAGCGAGATCCTGTCTCAAAAATAAATAAATAATAAATAAATAAATTATATAGGTATAAAAATAAAAAATAACATAAAAAAGCCTTTTCCCCTGGAGGAAAGAAACCAGCTTACTTTGGAAAGAAATGTTCACTTTTATGAAACCCAAAATGTGTAATAGTCATTGTACAAAAGAGAGGAAAAGAAAGTGCTCTAAACTATATAACTGCATGTATATTTAAGTGTATAAGATAGAATATGATATCACAGAGTTTTATCGGATCATTGAACAGAACTGTTTGCAGTATCATTGATGGAATGTCCACTTTACAAGCTTTAATTTTGTGACTTGAACAATTATTTCTAAGATGACAATATGTAATCCATTAACTAGTGATTTCCGACTGTTCATTTTTTTTCTGCAAATCTGTATAACTTGTACCCTTTCTCTGCTTTTTTTTCTTTTCTCCTTAAATAAAATTTAAGAAAAAAAAAATGTTCACTTTTGCCCAGAATGCTGGGGAATAGTAGGCCCCAGATATTCTCCAGTCATCCACATACCCACTACCCTACAAGTTATTTCTTATAAAGATAAGGTCTTGAGAATTCTAACTGTGTACTTCACTAAGGAATTGAATTTAAAATGAAATGAGGCATTAAAACATTTGGAGGGATAAATATTTGTCTTTGACCTTGAAGCTTGTACTTTCCAAGATAAATATTATTTTCCTTTTTAGGAAATATTGTTGTGACCCAAGTAAACTGAGAACTGCCTTTGAAGCAGTCAGAAAAGCCTGTTTCCTTTGCACTTATTGATATTCATAAAATCACTTACTTCTTTAAGAAAATGATATGTATCTACAGAAAATATATTATCTTAATAACCACTGATAGGGCCCATAATACTTTAAATCTGAAAACTCCCCCTGGAATCTTCTAAATGAGAGACTTATCACACATGTATCATTCATACAGCACTGCAGGGCACAATAAAAATTAAGATTTACACTGGAAATCAATTTTCTTTTGTTACACATTTAACCCAAGCACTATGGCAACAGAATATAACATAAAGTAGGTCACGCATTTCAACTTCTGTGATACAAAAAAGCCAGCTGTACATTTGTTGCTCATCTTTTAGGATTCTTTCTTTTAAAATTCTTTTATTTCACATACCCCTATGTTATCCAACAATGATCTAGTAAAAATCGTAAGACCAAATTTTTGAGTGAGATTTATGCAACCTTAGTAATTTTTTCACTTGGTTTAGTAATATTTAGTAGTATTCATCTCTATACTCAAACAGGAAAACAAGGAACCGAATTCTGGGTAAAAGGAAGAGTATATACAAGTTCATGGTCATGAAAGGGCACAGTGTACTCTTTGCAAGTCATCCTAGGAAGCATTTGAGGAGTGATCAAAACCAGGCACCATAAGGAAATTTTAAAAAGAGACTGTTTTTGTCACTATAGAGTTAATGGACTCATCAGTAGTCTCCTAGGAGCCTAAATGGACACCTACCCCAGCTGCCTAGGCTATTTGTATCCAGGAAATAAAATGACATTGAATTACAATCCCTTGTACATTATTTTCTGATACCATTTTCCTTTGTCTCTTGGGAGGATATGCTCCTTTGTTTTATTAACCCATATTTTGTATTCCATCTTCAAAGAACCCTCCAGGACCTTTCCATACCAAATATCCTTTCTTCTCTCCCTCTCTTCTATGTGTATAGCTTATAGGTCTTTAGAATCAGAAAGAGCTGCCCGTGTAATGTATCACAATAATAGTTGTGTGATCTTGGAAAAATTGTTTACTTTCTCTGATGCATGAGATTGCAGGAAGTATTAAATGAAACAAATAATGTGAGCACCTAGTGCTGTGATGGGAACAGAGTAAGCGTCCTCTCTCATCTCTTAATGTGCTGCTCCCTACTCAGTGTAAAGACTTACTCAGTTTTCTTGTTTCCTGCACCCATTTTCTAAACACACACGCACACACACAACAATCCTCAAACACACAAGTGTGCAGGGCATGGTGGCAGACACCCATAGTCCAAACACTTAGGAGACTGAGGCAGGAGAATCACTGCAAGTCCAAGGCCAGCCTGGACTATGTAGCAAGACTCTGTCTCAAAAAAAAAAAAAGGGAGAGAGAAGAATAGAAAACCACACAAGTGCATATATGTATTTTCCCTCAACTCTATTATCTCTACCTGCTCTTCATTGCCAAAAATCTATTTCAACTCACATCCCACGCATTTCTCATAGTGAATTCCACACCTGTCCCTTTTCTGAATCTGCAGCATACATAGGGCCACAAAGCTGCCTGGCCTGCTGGTCTCCTCAGCTTTTAACTACTGTACCAATCCTCAGCAGTCAGCACTGCTAAGCATCTTGTCTTTGAGTGCTTCTTCTCCAAGCTCCATGCAGCTGAAGGAGCCCCTGCCACTCCCTGCACCCCACTTCTCTGCCTTTCCCCACTCTGCCTCCTGCTCAGCTCCTTGGCCCTCTCTGCTTCCGGGACCCAGTTTGTCACTTGGGCGGGTATGAAATGGTCAAGCTGTGGTGGGTCCTATCAGAGGCCTCAAAAAGTAGTACTAGCCTGGCAATAATTATGGCAAAAGGGAAATAACTTTTTCAGATAACTTAACGTTGCCCCTATCCAACAAAAACTAAGGTGATCTTTAACAACCAGCCACAAAGGACAAAGAACAGGAAGATGTGCCCAGAGCTTTACAGCAAGCATGCTAGGAAATTTACTTCGTTTCTTCTTTTGCTACATAAATATATGCCGCAGCAGATAAGAGTGGAAATATCTAAAACTATTTGCATAGCTGCTGAATACTTTTTTAAAGACCAAGTTCCAATAATTTACAGAGAAGTTGAGCTGTTTCTACAATTGGTTTTAAAATTCTTGATTTAAAGAAATCTTACTTCAATTTTGAACATCAGTTATGAACTTGACATGGTGCAGAATCAGGTAGTGAACAAAGAAAAGAAGTCAAAGCTTTTCTCTCAGCCACCCTTTGCAAGTATGTCACTAATTCTTGACTAAGACTGCACGGTAGGACTATGGGGAAGAGAACAAGAAGCAAGCCCTTCCTGTGAATCAGGGCCATGCCCAGTCCACTGTGGGGAGAGCCAGATGTCAGCCCTTTCAGGCATGTAGGCTGGGAAACAAGAGGAGCCAAAACTCACCCCTACCCCCATAAGCCACTGGCTGATCCAGAGAAACATAGGCTGCAATGATAGCTAATGAGGTAAAATACAATTTAATGCTTGTAGTGTTTAGTGTTTCACCAACTTTGCAGGTCTAAAGCCAGTGGCCTGATGGTCTAGTCAAAGGATAACAATATCTTCTGAAGGCAGTAGCCATTGTTAATTCCCTATTATCTTATTTTGAAGTCCTGTATCATTTTCATTGTTATATCGGAGTGGGTTTTATTCTGTTTTGTTTTGTTTGATTTTATTATATCAGACGTGGGCAGCTATTTCATAGATAACAGGATATATTATGGTAGTCATTTTTTATTTACTATGTCTTGTTTTGAAGTCCTTTACTGCATTCATTGACTGATTTTTATTGGTTCTATTCTGTTCTTTTTTGTTTGATTTTTACTATGTCTGAAGGTTTTTGACAGACAACAAGAGGCATTATGGGAACCATTGTTGATTTCATATTGTTTTGAAGCCCTGTGTCACTTATACTGGTTTGTTTTGATTGGCTTTATTCTATTTTTTGTTGTTTGGTTTTATTCTCTTTAAAATAAAGGTAAAATATGACCAAAAAAGAACATGCCATAGTTAATATAAAAATCACAGTGTATGATCAGAGCTTGTACATACATATTAGTTAACAGTGCTGGCCCTTGAGTAAGACTGCCTGTGTTCAAATTCCACTTAAAGAAGTTGTCAGTTGCATGAAATTGAGGGATTTATTTCATCTAAACTCTATTTTGCTAACCCACATAAATCAGATGAAATGGCAATACCTTTGTGCAGGAATTTTGGAAAGATTAAAAGAAAATGTTATATAAAATATTTAGCAAAGTACAAGACGTATGGTTTACATTTAAAATATATTGTATGAACTTTATTCTACATTTCCAGCCTTAGTTTCTTCCTTTGTGAGAAATTACGCTTTATTTGTAAAACGTGTGTGTGTGTGTGTGTGTGTGTGTGTGTGTGTGTGTACACAGCTAGACTGAGAAATAAGGCAAAGTGAACTTGATTACAGAAATACAGAGAATCAGGCTGGGTGTGGTGGTGCATGCCTGTAATCCCAATACTCAAGAAGTTGAGGTAAGTGGATCATTGAGAGTTCTAGCCCAGCCTGGGCTACAAAGTCAGATCTTGTCTCCAAAAAACCAAGAAGAAGGAGAGGGAAAATGGAAAAATAGAGTGGCCTCTGGTGAAAGTTTCAAAGGCTTCAATCGAGCCAGGCATGGTGCATTAGGATGCTGAGATGGGAGGTTCACAGCAAGTTCAAGGCCAGGCTGGATTATACAGTGAGTTCTAGGCCAGCCTGATGCATGATGACACCATCTCAAAAAATAAAGTAAAGTAAAACAATACAAAATAAATACCTTGGTAGCTGCCTAGTATAGAAGATCTCCACCCAATATTGTACTTTTAGCATAGAAATGGCATTTCACCTTCTGAACTGGAGAAAGCAGGAAAGGCATCCAACATCCTATACAAAAGAGGTAGGCAAAAGGAAGAGTCATTACCAACTCTTCATCACAGTAATATTTTATTATTTTATTGCTGTGATGATTCTTTATATGTCCATTTGACTGGGCTAAGTGATTCTCAGATAACTGATGAAGCATTGTTTCTTGGCCTTTGTAGAAGATATTAGTGTCTGAATCATTAGATTGAGTAAAGAACATCCCCCTTTATTGATGTAGGTAGGCATCATTCAGTTTCTTAAATCATCATTCAATTTTTGAGAGCCTTAATAAAAAAAGAGAGAAACAACAAATTTGTTTTCTCCTCAAACTGACATTCTTGGCTTTAGGACTGGGACTCGCACCATTGGTTCTCCTGGGAATCAGGAGTCTGGGCTGGCACTGTAGCTACACCACCAGCTTTCCCAGACCTGACAGATAGCAGACTGCAGGACTTCTGTGCCTGCATAACCAATGAGGCAAGTCCTGAAATTAACTGATTAATTTAACAACTGATGAACACAGGAGTATCTTACTGGTTCTGTTTCTCTGGAGAACCCTTGCTTATACAATTATGATTATAAAAAGTTCTGACTCTGAAAGTTGAAAAACAGCCACATATAAAAAAGCAAATAATATTAACCATGCTGTCACAACTCAGAGATAACTTTTATTAACATTTTGAAATAATTTTTGTTACTCTCATATGTCTCTGTGTATCTAAAATCAATGCTATATACATGGTTTTTGACTACTCTCCAATAATTCTACCATGAGTATTTTTCAATGCCACCGAAAATGTTTCTAAAACATTCTTTTCAATGACTACAAAACTGTCTTCTAGATTAATGTCTCATAATTTATATATTTTAATAACACTACTTTCTAATCACAAAATAATTATGTCCATTTATAAAATTAAAGACTGTAGTACATAAATCACCTATAATCTTATCATTGAGATTTAACCACTGTGAATATTTTGATATATTTCCTTCTGGTATTTTTATATGATTAGCTATTATATACTTAAAATAATTAAGGTCATATATTACAAGTATTTTCCCATGTCATTTAAAGTACTTTCAAAATGTAGTTTTTACTGCCTATAAAATATTAAATCATGTATGTCTGATCTCATTATTTTACTGTCAGGAGAGAAATTTCCAGCCAATAAAGATTAAAACTGTTAAGATAGAGAAAGAGCCAGGCAAAGACCACACCTGCTTCATCAAGAGACTCTCTAGAGACCAGACCTACGTGCCTTGTACATGCCTTACAAAATCCTTCTAAAACTCAGGCCACAAGTTCAAGGGAAGGTAACTGTTTGAGAAAGAACTCCTTCAGTTACAAATGAGCGAATGCTTTCCCAAATAATATATCTCAGTGGTACAGTACTTGCTTGTAATGGGTGAGGCCAGAGGTTCAGTCTCTAACTCTGCAAACGAAACCAAACAAAACAAAAAATCAGAAAAAAATTCAAAGAAGGAACAGAGAAAGGAGAAAGCAGAGAATTGTAACAGCTGAGATAAATAAGAGGGAGTTGCATCACTGCTGAATAAAGAGGCTAGAGCTCAATCACTGGCTCTCGGTTAAAGCACATCTTGCTCTTATGCACCTGTGTTTTCATTCTTCTCTCTCACCATGAACAGTATCAATATTTTCCTGAAGAGAAGCTAGTCCCATGACACCCTAGTTTATGTCATCTTTACAGCTATACCGTCAGGGAAGAAGATAATACCTTTCCTGGTGGCTGTTGAATAAAAGACGCTGAGGTCACCCAAGAGAAACCAATCACTGTGTTCAGAAGGACAGATAGTTTGAAACTGGTGACCGGATTAAGGGAAAAACTTAAAAAATTAGGATATATAGTAGTAACTCTTTTTGATCTCCTATTAACTTGTTTTGAAGTCCTGTAATACTCCCAAGATCTTGTTTTGACTGATTAGACTCTGTTCCATTCTGTGCGATAGTAGCAAGTTTGAAGGTATAGGCAACTAATTTGAAGGCAATAAGATTCACAAAGATGCCCATTCTGGTTTGACTATTGTCTCCTTTGGAAGTCCTGTAATGTTCACAATGCCTAAGTTTTATTGGTCTTGTTCTCCACTGTTTTGTCCGGCTTTATAATATCTAATGAGATGGACAATTCCTTTTAAGGAAACAAGAGACAATGTTGATAACCATTGTTGATGACCTTGTACTCTGTTCTACATCATGTGCTATGTCTATCCTTGGTTTGGACTTACAGCTTTGTTTTGCCATATTTGACTTTATTCTCTCCCCCCCAAGAGAGTAATGAGAACTGAGGAGTAATAAAATCCAAAATGTGTAAATTCTGTTATAGAAAAGAGAGGGAGGGGAAAAAAAAAAAAAGAGCTCTAACGGATATAACAACAAGTGTGTTTAGGGATGTTAAATAGCTGACTATATTAATGTTTTTGGATCATTGAACACAGCTGTTTGCAGTCTCTCCGTTTGAATGTCTACTTTGTATTCTTTGATACTGTGATTTGAGCAACTATTTCCAAGATGATATTATGTAATCTATTAACAGGTGATTTCTTACTGTTATGTTTTTTTTTTTTTTTTTTTGTAGTTCTGTATTATGTGTAACCTTACACTGCTTTGTTTTGTTTTGTGTTTTTCTCTTTTTCCTCTTAAATAAAAAAAAAAAAAAAAGAAACTGGTGACCGGGAGACCATACGTAGTAGGCTGCAAGAGAATCAGCTTGACTGAATTGCATGGCAGGAGTGGTTCTTCAAAGAAGAAGGAAATGGCATCAAAGTCACATCTAAACAGGTGAGAGGTCAGTGGTTACCAGAGGCAGTAGAGGGAAGTAAAAGGGAAAGGGGAGAGGCCGCGAATGACCCCGGTACAAGTGACCAGGTGCTTTCCCACAGACTCAGAAGCCAGGAGCAGAAGGCGTGCCCCTTGGTGTGAACAGGTCCTGTGCACACACCTCAGTTTAATTAACCAGTTTCCCACCATTATTCATCCAGGTTACTCCCAGTTTCCCTTTCGTCAGTTCCTCAGCTAAATACTACTTTTTTATGCATTTTGTGATAAATTCATTTATGACTGTAAGGTAATCATTCATTCATGATCAAATGCAGAAAGATAAAATAGCTGTATTTCTACTATCTAGGAGTGACTAAATGTGTATATGCACATACTCATACATATTTACACAAACAGCATTATACTGCAAAAAATTTTCTCCTTTGTAAGTTTATCTAGAACTGACCCAAAAATATCTGATGTCCTTCATTAAAGTCTCTGCTATTCAAATTTTAGTAGATATACATATATATGTCATCATGTAATTTAATATTTTAATCTTTTTAAATTTGGAACCATTTACATAGTATCCATTTTTATTATTATAACAATATTTGTACATATATTTGCCTTTGATTATTTCACTGACATAGATTCTTGGGAGGGAGCAGAGATACTTGACCAAAGCATGTGAACTGCCTTACAAGTATAACCACACAGGGACAACTATTAGAAGGATTCAGGAAAAAGGCAATGATTATATTGTGTAAGACCTCAGACAATCAGAAGGGGGATGGTGGGAAACGAAGGAAAATCAGCTCAAGAGGAAGGCTTTATATTACCAGCCTCCTGGGGAGAAAAAAATAGATTTGTTTAGATTGTCATTCAATAAGACTGAATCTTATTAATAGATGAATTTGAAAGTTTCCCATTTTAATTTGCACAGCTGTCCCTAATGGTTTAACCCATAGGAAAACAAACCTCCTTGGCCCCTCACAATTGACTAAGCTGTCCCCAGAGGAATTTTCTCTGCCCAATACAGGTGGACAGAGTAAAGAGTCTGATTCACCAGAAATATTCTGCAATATTTTGCACACAACAGTCAAAGGGAAGTAGTATTTCCAGGAGCATTCTACCAACTCTGCTCTGTGGGAAGGAAGGCCGATGGCGTCGTGGGTGAATAAAGAATTCTCCAGCATCCTGGGGCCACTTGGTAGAACTGGCAGGTAAAGCCTGGAGCTCTGACCGTCCACTGCAGTGGGAGGACCTTAGGAGGGCAGGAGGAAGCCAACTGCATAGACCAAAGGAAGGGGTGGGGTGTTAAGGGCTGCCTTGAATGAGGAGCATTGGAGAAAAGAACTCCAAGCCAATGAAGATTTCTGAAATGCTTCCTAACCATAAAGTGTTGAGTGTATGATCTGGTTCTTTAGGAACACCAAGAGCAAAGATTTATATTAATTTTCAAGCTTTCAGAGACAAATTCATGTTTCTTTTGAATGTGCCTCTGAGGGGTCAGCCTACCTGAAACCTAAAATAAACTTAAAAATAACCATGATGTGAACCTTCTACATTCTATTTGGAAAGGGAAACTTGCTCTGTTTTATACAGGATCTGTAGAATTTATTCACTACATCTTTTTCCATTGTGGTACACCCTCCAAATGCTGAACACCTTTTTATTTCATGAAAGGATTGATGTATCATGTGATTGTGGGAAAAGTATTTTACAGTAAATTCTTCTGTTTTACCTTGGCTCTGTAAGTTTCTTTCCTCCTTGTACCACACGTATTCATTGATTGTAATTCATTATGGCAAAGGCCTTGTTTTACTCATTCCTGTATGCCGTATGTCTTTGATTCAGGACTTTGTACCTGGTGCTGCAATATACGTGCTTACTAAGTTATAATGAAGGCAGAAAGATATAATATGACTGAGAGACATTTCTCAGTTGCTGAATAAATCTGCTTTGTCTTCATTTATTCATTAAATCAGCAAACATGTGTTGAGGATTTAATGCAGATGAAATGCCTATTTCTTCAGTCTACAGCACAAACGTGATTGTATTCTCCTCCAAGAACGTGACTTTTCATCTGTTGAGCATTTTAAACTTGACACTTAGCAATGCCCATCACGGAATGAAGAGGGAAGTAGCCTTCCTACCTGACAGAAGCCTGGCCCTGTTGTCAAAGGGCAGAACAGGTCTGGGGAGATCTCTACGTCTGAAGAACAAAGCACCCTTTTTGTAACAAGGTACTTACGGTTTTTAACCAAGAATCATGTTGGCCTGATTTATAAGATATGTATTGTACTTAGGTGGATGAAAGGAAACAGTGGAAGACAGGTAGCTTGGGGAGAGAAGAGTCCTAGATAAACTAGATTTAGACAACCAGCCTCAAACTTCTCCACCTTCCTCCAAAAAAAAAAAAAAAAATATCTCAAGACCAAGAGAAGCCAAACAGCCTCTTCAAAGGAACAGTAGCAGTGAGAAAAACTGGGCAGGGATTTTAAGACATCAGCGTGCATATGTGTTCCTATGATAGTACCTGAAGAGAGCAAAACCAGTAAACGGAAGTAATAGAAGGGTGTTAAGCTGTCCGAATAAGTCTTAGTGTCTCTTTACCTGTTGGGTCCCCACCTTGAGCCTGGCACCGAGACCTGACATGACTGTTTTGCTTCTAGTCACACAATCCGCACGAGAGCAATCATTTTGTCACTGATAAAGTACTTAGGGTTTATTGTGGGAGAGAAAGTTGTAATCCCAGTTTGCCTGGGACTCTCTAGATCACTGAAAGTTATCAGTCCTCTGCAAAACTGGACGGATGGTCTCTCTTCTAACCCCATGGGGCGGGCTGCAAAAAATTCAAGTATACATGGATTCACTTACATTTTGTTCACAACTTAAAAATGATCATATTGCGTCTACTCCAATGCCAGTTACTCAGGTATAAAACCAGAAAGGCAGTGAGTGTCAGACATGACCAAATGAGGGAAGTGTTTGATATCAGTCTGCGAAAAGACCTGGTAAATGCCTCATTGCAAACACAAGGGAGATCCTGTGACTTTTTTTTTTTTTTTTGGAAGAAAATAAGGTAGATTTGTTTTAAAAAGTATTTGCTTTTTCTTCATTTAAGTATGTGGAGTGCTACTCTCTATTAAGACTTAAGTTTTCACATCAATATATTTGTTTATTTACGTGAATTAGAGACTATAACCACTGACAAGGGATTTCACCAGTTAATTTGCAGTCATCCCTGCCCCCTATACAAGCCCAGTGCTTCCCAAGGTCTTAGATTTTTCAACACAACATGGAGAATGTAAACCTCGTGCTTAAAGAAGTACTGTTTTTTCTTTACATGCTGCTGCAAACCATCAGCTGCACAGAGTGCTAACACTACCCAATAAATTTCTCTAACCGAAACCCACCCCTCAACTCTGTCCATTGCTCTCCACTCTTCCCAAATCTCGTTACCCTCCGTCTCTTTTCTCTTGCTCCACATCACTGACTATTTCCTCTGCCACGGTGTTTACCCCCACCCCACTTACCCTCTACCTCCGCATGCTCAGGGCTGCTCACTTCCATCCCAGGAGCCCTATCCCACGGATCACAAGGCCTCTGACTCCAATTATCACAGGCTCTACCTAATTCAGCATTTAGTCATGCTCAACTCATTCCTACCTTTGAAAGACTGTTTTTTTCCCCTAGCCCAGTTTTTCTCAGCTCTGCCTGCTCATTAAGACCATCCAGGGAGAGTTTTAAAAATTTATAATCCCTACCAGAGATGGTGAATCTTTCAAAGCTTTCAATGATAAGAAACATCTGGCTGCAGCATGCATGCCATAGCTTCACCACTGCTGTACAGCACAGGAATTAAGCCAGAGTTGCCATGGGTGGAGCCCAGGTGTGAAAAAGTTTTAAAGCACCCTAGGTGATTCTAATGTGCAGTCAGGATTATGAAACACTGACCTAACCCTCCAACTATTCCTGTTTGTCTTCATTTACTATCAAACTTGACTCGTTACTTCCTTTTGCATGCTCATACCACTGCAAGCTGGTTCCTGGGTTGTCTCCTCCCCAAACCCTCCCAATGCCTCAAGGTCACTGAATGTTTCATTAACATAAATCCCTCTTTGCAGACATTACACACTTTGATTTGGCGGCACTGACCCTGTCCTTGAGGCTTTCTCTTCCTTTGATGCCCCTGCTGCTGCTCTCTCCTACCCTGGTCCCCCCTCCCTTCCACTTGGGTCGCCCCATCTCAGGACCCATCTTTGTCCTTGCTTCTCTGCACACTCTGGGCAATCTCTTCCACACTCTGGTTTTATTGCTGTCCAAATGCCAGTAATACCAAAGAGCCTACCCAGCTTTTTCAGGCACTCACTCCTATGTCTAGCTGCTTCCTGAACAACTTCCTTTGGGAATCTCAATGGCATACTCGAATTCAATGGCAAGACTGAAATGCGTCCTTCCTTCATTGTTCCCTACTGCAGTTTGCATTCATTTGTCCAAGTGGACATTCTCCTTCACTAGTCCTCTCAAACTCCCATCTAGTCAACCATTTATTTTCACGTAGAAAAGGTTGACTCTAAATCTGGAAACCCTTAGCCCTAAATACTGTGTGAAAAAAATCTAAACATTATAATTTCATAAATTAATATCAAATAAATAATCTTAATAAAAGTCCTGGCATATAGTTGCAAAACCTTTTGTGTATTTATGAATACTACAGGTATATTGAATATTTGAGATTGTATTCTAAACAATTGAATAGTACTTATTACTCCCAAACTTTGCCTACTTTCTCTTTCTAAGAAGAATCACAGTTTTTTCATTAATTAATTTTTTGATTGTCTTGTACTACATGAGCTAGAGGAAATGAAATCTGTACATAGTGAGAGCTTTGATTGGGAAAAAAAAAACATTTTAGTGATAGCACTGCTGGTTGAAATTTTGTGAACTGTCAGAGGTTTGTTTTCAAAAGGAATAAATTTTTTTAAAAATAAAGTTTTGAAAGCTGTTTTTCTTATGCTTTTACCACTTTCTGAATAACTGAAATAAGTTCCAGTTACCAGTTCTAAGAAAGTTTGTTTTTCCCTAAGCCCCGTATGTGGCTTTTAGGAATATCCAGAATTAATAATTTGTCTCAGCATCAAACCTCTGGCTTCTTTTTCTTTTGACCATCTGCACATTTTGCATGCTTAGGAGCTGTTGGTATGCATATGTATCCAGCTCTTTGCATATGGAATGAGTATGCTTTCAAAAAGCTGACCCATAAAAGTTCTAAAGGAAGCAGTGAACACTTGGAGGGGGGCCAGCCTCCAGCTGCAGATGGTGCTGCAGTGGTGGGGAAAGGGGAGAGGTCTGTAGCTCTGGATCAGCTGGGTCTTTGCTCCACGGACTCTTGCTCTGGGATGGATGGCACCACCTCTGTGCATTTTACTATTTATGAGGTCCTTTCACATACACTGAGTAGTAAATTCATGAAGGAAAACACAGCTATTTTAAGTGAATGCAGAGTAATGCCTGCTCCCTTTTGTTTGCAACTTAAAAAATTAAATATAAAGGCTAAAACCCAATGTCAGTGTTTAAGAATAATGACGAATTATGAAACTTTGCAACTTGCTATGAAAGAGGAAGCAAATAACAAGATAATTATGATCCTAGGATATCTCAATCCTTTTCACTTAGTTCCAAGGAAAGCCAATTGAAAGTGATGATTTGTGCAGATTTAAATTCTGTGATTGCCTGAGGAGAAGGTAGATGGGGAGGGAGGGAAAGAAGTACAGTATTTGATCTATGCAAAACCATTTCCAACAGGATAGAATAAGTTGGGGAGCATTTGGAATGTTTAATTTCGAATTTAGGAGGGGGACACTATAGATAGCAAGAGAATTCTCAAAATAAGGAGTGGATTTTAATAAATTACAGCAATGAGCTTTGTAGACATACTCAATTATAGTAATTTTTTCCATTTATTTCCTTTGGGCATTAGAGAATTCTGCATCCACATAGACATTTCTAGGTTTAGTGATCCAGGAATATGTAAAACCAGATGCTTCATAAAGTCTATACATTTCAAATAAATCTACCAGGATGATTCTTCCTGAACCAAAGGTAAGTCTTGTAGCTCATAATAGGCAAGATATCTAACCTATAGAGGTACTGGAAAACTATGAGTTCAGGCAACAAGCCTGTCCATTCTCTAGTATTTCTGTGTGTGTGTGTGTGTGTGTGTGTGTGTGTGTGTGTGTGTTACAGGGAATTGAACCCAGAGCCTGCAAACTGAGTTATATATTCAGTCATTTATTATTTTTTATTTCACAAAAGCATCTAGCTGAGTCACTAAGCTGCCCTACGTACCTCAAACTGGAAATCCTCCTGCCTCAGCCTTCCAGAGTGATAGAATTATGTGTAGAAGCCACTACATGCAGCAAGTAATTTTTATTATCTAAATAATATCTCTTCTGAGACCTTTATGTCTATTTTATCAATTACTTATAGAAATGATTTTATGTCATTTTTTACTTGATGTTGTGCAGTGTGTCCTACTTTGTTATGAAGTCTTCGTAAAGACTGTTTTAATGATTATATGATGTGATTTAATTAACAAGATCCCAATAAACATTCACATTTATTTCTATTTTTATTGCTATAAATAATTCTACCATTAATACATTTATTCTTAAAGTCTTATAATCTATCTTATTTAATTTAATAAATTAAGAAATATGAATGTTTTTGAGGCTATTGATTTAACTTATCACATTGCTAAGTTAGTATACTAACCTTCCCATTACCGGAACAAAACATCCAATACCCACAACATAAAGGAGACGTTTATTTTAGTTTTGCTTTAAAATTTTTATTAGTACATGTTTGCAGTACACCGTGATTACATTCATCATGGGAACTGGTACATGTACACAGCACATCTTACTGTTTGCTTCCCTTTCCCTTCCCTCTCTGTTCCCTCCCTCTCTTGACAGGTTTATCTTGGCTTGTGGATTTTAGAGGCTGGAGTCCATGGTCCGTTGGTTTCAGGTGAAAGCATGGCAGAAGGGAGCAGCAGAGGAAAAGTACTCCCCACGCAGTGCAGAGAGAAAGTAAAAGCCTGGAACAAGAATACACCTTTACAGGCTGAGCCCCCAGTGGCCCACCTCCAACCAGATCCCAGCTCCTAAGAGCACCTCAGCTACTGACCTCATCAACAGGTGAACCAGTCACCTTCCAAACATGTGAGGCTGTGGAGGACATTGTAGCTGTAAAGCATAATGGTTGGGTCTGTACAGTGTTATGAGCTGAATCCTGGATCCATGGACTGGAAAGAGACTGAGAGATTTCAGCAATGGTAAGAGTCCATGGTGCCACCACCTACTTGCAGGATACATACGACATTCAGATGAAAATAAGTTATGAGAAGGCTAATATTATATATTTTCCCGTGATTATTAATGCTTTTATTTCTTGGATGTCAACTTTTAAATTCTATTAAAATTTTTTTGGAGGTACTTACTTCATCAATGCCCAAGACACACATTCAGCTAACTTATAAAGCGAGGGGACCTCAGAGACGCACCCTTTGTTCTGTGAGATCTTAGCAGATTACAAAGTAGCTAAATTTATCTTTCAATTCAAAGTAATTTGCTGGGTGTGGTAGCACACACTTATAATCCCAGCACTGGGGAGGCTGAGGCAGGAGGATTATCGTGAGTTTGAGGCCAGCCTGGATTACACAGCAAGACCCTGTCCCCCCACAAAAGAATGAAGACAAGTCCATCCATTTCATTGAGCTAACAGCTAAATTAGCTGACTTACTGGGTGTAGTGCTTGCTGTATAACCTCTCTATAAATAATAAATAAATTATAACTGCTGGTGTCATTTTTACAGAACTATGACATTTACACTCTCAAATATCACCAAAGCATGATAGTGCTTTACATTAAAAAACAATCTTTGCTTGTGTGATAGGTTTTTTGTTTTGTTGTCATGCTTTTGTCAATTTTATTTTCATTTATGTAGTAAGTTTTTTTAAAAAGCAGGGTCTCAAATATGCCTAACTCATGTTTCTTTGTGTCTTAGTGAACATGAATATTTTTTCCATGTGTTTACTAATCAGTTATATTCCCATTTAGAATTACGTGTTCCATGGCTTTAAATCTCAGGTCTCCCATTCATTTGCTCTGTTCAGACTTTGTTAGTGTGCAATCTGGTCTCCATAGGAGATAGCAAAGTGTACTGTTTCTCTAAATCGAGGCTCCATCAAGAGCTGCCTGGGTGTGCGATTAGGTTTTGGATGTTTTTAATTGAGGTAGGTTGAATCTTCCCCCTCCCCGTAGACATGAGCTCTGTACAACATTTCCATGTATCACATCTCCATGCAATAGCACCCAGGACAAGAAAGGCATTATCTGTGCATAAAAGTGAGAAGATATTTCCCAAAAGTCCCTTAGATGATTTCTCCCTCTCATATTATTAGCCAGATTTGCTACTTGTTCATTCGCAAACCAAATCACTGAAACCACACCTTCAATTTCATACAAAGAGCATTTCATACTGGGGCAGATTTAAACCCACCTGCTGCCCTGAGGAACAGGCAGGGTCCTGTGAACATAGTAGGGGATAGCAGAGTGACTCCTGAAGGAAACCAGGGTTCAGTTGTGCAACTGACTGAGATAGGCCTGGGGGAAGAACAATGCCTGATAAGCAAAAATAAAGCATGTCCCATTTGGTGAGTTAAGGGGCAGCACCTGTACATTTCCGATCCTCACTTTCCTCCTGGGTCAGCTGGAGATGTCCAGCTGGTAGTATTTTTTGAACTGCATGTTTGTTGAATATCCAACAGAAATCTGACCTGGAGTAGATGTGCAGAAATAGTAGTTGCATAAGTATTTTTGTATAATAACCTGTTGTGTTTAAATGTAAATTTTTTCAGAGTTTATTGAGAACTTATCATTAGGGGAAAAAGATCCCTATATATTTTGTAATATTTGTTGTGCAAATGCATTAATCTTTTCCTTTTTATAATTCCAATAGTTTGACATTTACAAGGCACTGTGCTCCTTTTTACTTCCTCTCATTGGTATCTAATTACAAAGTGACATTTTGTTTCGGCTAATCTTTTATGACGTGACCTGTTCCATCAATGAAGTCCATATCAGATTTGGTTACGGCATTAGCTGAAATATGAAGATTTAACTTATTTCTTTCACAAATATGAAACCATTTGTTTTGATAAAATTTACAAAGGAATGCTTTACCTCATTGGTCCTACTGCATCTTTACATGAGGTTATACAGTATTCCTATAAAATCTGGGACAAGAAACCAGGAAAGTCTCCCCTCACAAACCAAAGGAGGAGGGAAGAAGCTCCCACACCCACCTACTCCAATTATACACACCACAGCCCAACATGCAACTTGAGAATTAACAGTTGCATAAAATTCCATGTCACAACCTGATCAATTTCTCCAATTTTTCTTCAGTACAGTCAGATGATTTTCTGTCATTTCCTTCATACTGAGTTCTCACACTGCAGATTCAGAAGACTCTAAGTATTATAATCTTCTCAGTGCTTCTAATATGTGGCTTTTAGAACAGCATGTAAGAGTTTCTATGTGGCTGCACTGTGATTTTTGACTATGACAATTCCTTTTTTATGGCAGTAAATCTAACACAAATATGCACATCCATGTTCATGTCGAGGTACCCTATCATTAGCATACCATGAGACAGCTTCTATCTTTGCAGTGATTTCTGTTCTCACTATTTTTCAGCCCCAGTCAAAATGGATTATTTGTTAATCCTTAAACACACTTTGTAGTTTCTTGCCTCCACGCCTTTTTTATACCATGCCCTGAAGTTGGCACACACTATGTCAAAACTTGCTTCCTCATTTCCTTCTGTCTAAATCCTCGCTAACAGTGTTGGATGTATTGGAAATAACCTAATGATTAAAGATATTTAAATCCAATGGGGTATTACACAAATAATAAACATGAACAAAAGAAAAGGAAGAAGTGGAGGACAAATGCTGACTAAAAAGTATATAAATAAATTGCCTATGCAACTTGATTATAAATAAATATCTTGATCAGGTTCTGATCAGCAAGACACAAGAATTATGGGAGCCAGGGCAGCCGTGATCAGGCAGCCTAGATCCTGAGATCTGTACACACTACAACTGTTTTGTTTTCTGTCTCTCTTTCCCTCCTTTCTCTCTTCTTCCATCTGGCACTAATATTTTTTTCTATTCTTTTTTGGACAGGCTCCCTTTGTGGGAGTGTTGGGTGGGATGGAAAGTGACTTCCAGATTCTACACCTCTGTAAGCTAGTCCCTAATTTTGTAAATGTCCGGAAGGGACTGTGCTGTCAGATCTGAATCCACTCCTGGGCCTATCTTAGCCCTTTCACGATGGTCATAGGAATGGTTACCACGTGATGTCAAAACAAGAGCCTTTCCTATCCTCAGGGAAAAAGGGTACTATAACTGGTAGCCTTGTCAAATCATCTGATTAGATTAGGAAGTGGATCCCCAAAGAGAATGTAATGTATGAAGTAAAAAGAAGAAAATGGATGATTAGAAAAAAAAAGCAGTCAAAGTGTTAAGCAGGCAAAACATAAACAAAAACAAACAAACAATCATTGCATCCTACAAATTGACATACTCAAGACCTGATATGCTATAGTGTGGAAGACCACTTGGATGACTCTCCTTGAATAAAGAGCAATTATCTGCGTTTTGACTAACTCTGGTCCTGTATCTATGTACTGATATGTACACAGCTGGCTAAGCCATTTCTTGATCCTTTCAACTGGCTTTAAGCAATGTAAATAGAGCTAACTGAAGTGCTGATGCATAATCTTTGAAGCTAGGCAATAGTCGCTTTTTCCCCTGCCCCATGACTCCCAAGAAACATGGTCGAGCTGGACAGGATGAAAAGCTACCGGGTAACTCCACACAGTCAACTTGGGTCAAGCCTTGAGATAAGAGGCTATGATTTCCCAGAGCAGACATTGGAAGTGAAGCACATACCCCAAAACATTAGATACTACCTCAAGCTGTATTATGTGGATTACTCTATCTGCATGTCCTTCTCTCTCTACATATTGCAGACATAATTTCCGCACAGCTGCCTAGCCCAGATCACATACTTCCTCCCATTCTCAGTCCCTCATCCCTGCCCCTCTCATAGTCACTAATCTCCTTGTAGAGAATTAATAAAACCCAGGTTAGGCCCTGGATTGAGGCCCTAGTCCCCATGAACCACCATCTTGACTGACCTTTGGACCCCTGGTACCCCATAACTATAAATATGTCTTAGTGTCTTTTTTCTCACAATGGGTTGCACTGGAAGTGATATATTGGCATAAACTTGTTGGAATTCCAATGACTTTTCCACGGAATTACAAATATAAACCTCCCAGATCAAGTCAAGGACTGATCTCTACACTTAGCCTTCTTGTTCACGGTTTCATACTTCAGGTCCTATGTTAGGGACATTTTGAATTAATCAAATTCTACATCTGAATTAATCAAATTCTACATCTGAAATAATCAAATTCTACATCTCTGAATTAATCAAATTTGCATGTGCTGTTCCTTTTTTCCCTAAAGTCCTCCCACTCCTGCCTCCATCTGGATAAGTCCAATTCACACTTCAGTTTATACTGCACCTGTGCCTGGCCATACGAAGCCTGCAAGGATTCCCTCAATGGGAGTTAGAAATCCACATATGCAGATAGTGCCTGACGCTTTTCTCTAGCACAGCATACATCACAGCCTATGACTGGTGAGATACTCTGGCTAGTTTAAGCAGAAAGGAATTGTTAGGGCCCAAGTGAGTTTATGAATTTTTGGGAGGCTAAGCAACCTGCTTAGATAATACTTACAGTATAAACAACATAGGAGAAACCTTCAAAATCCTACAGAAATCCCTGTGCCTGCCACGTAGCCTCTTCAGTACTGGAATCAGGATTCTATAGCTTCCAAGACAAACCCCTCCACTGCCCTTCCTGCTACTACAAGGATCTTGTGTCTACCATCTCACGGTGTATGCTTTACTTTCCAAACCTGTGCTTGGCAGAAGCTCAGACACACAGAAAACATAGCTATAAAGGAAACTGGAAAACATAACTTCCATCACTATAAAGAGAATGTTAAATACTATTGAGTACACCAATTTCCAGTATCTTTTTAGTGTCATCCACAAAAGTTGTTCTTCAGGACAAATTTATGGTTGTTATACTATCATGGTGAACATTATTACTCTTTGTATGAAATCTTTGCTCCCAGAAATACTTTCATGTCAGTATCCACTTTATATGATATTGGTATTGCTAAGCCAGATTTCTTTTGCTTACTAATTTCCTGCTATGTCTTCTTTCCATTTCTTTATTGTAATCTGTTACTTCATGTGAGGTTTCTGACTTACACAGTATGTGTAAATGGATGTTTTAAAAAGCCAACCTAAGAGTCCTGTCATTTAATGAGTTTAGACATTTATTTTTGACAATGATTAGGAAGGAATCTGATAACTTATTTCTGACATTTTATATTTGCTGCTTATGCAGCTTGCTCTTCTTTTCTTTCTTTTGGGCTGCCAAGTTTTGTTTTTTTGTTTTTTGTTTTTTTTTCCTAAATCCTTTTCATGTTCTGCAACAAGTTTTGAAGTTGCACCTCCTATTTCAAATCATTTAGGTTTTTTATTTTGTTTGGGGTTTTTTGTTGTTTTGTTTTGTTTTTTGAGACAGGCTCTCATTATGCAATTCCATTTGGCCTTGGACTCATTTTGTAGCCCAGGCCGGCTATGAACTCGCAGCAATCCTCCTGCCTTGGCTGGAATGGCAGGGGTGCACCGCCACGCATGACTAAGGTTTGTATTTTCCTAAC